CAAAAGTAAAGATCACAACGTTCGATCGTTTGTACAAAGATGCGTCGTTGTGAAACACATGTCTGTAAAAGAAAGACACTTTTCGGACAATCCAATAGTTGCTCTTTAAATTGCAATTTAGTAACCGCAATAAGTTGCAGTAATAAAATCACAAAATAAGAAAACAGTCGTTTCGTCGCGACTTAATTCCATGTTACAACAGTCACGCGTAGAAGGTATTAGGTCGTCCGAAAATTTTCTCTCGTTTTATAAGGAAATAATGGATTACTATAAGGAAATAATCGAACTACGTACGATCCATTCTACCAAAAGTAAAGATCACAACGTTCGACGGATTAGGTTTCGCGTTCGTATAAAGATGCGTCGTTGTGAGAGATGTGTCTGTAAAAGAAAGACACTTTTCGGACAATCCAATAGTTGCTCTTTAAATTGCAATTTAGTAACCGCAATAAGTTGCAGTAATAAAATCACAAAATAAGAAAACAGTCGTTTCGTCGCGACTTAATTCCATGTTACAACAGACACGCGTAGAAGGTATTAGGTCGTCCGAAAATTTTCTCTCGTTTTATAAAGATATAATGGATGCACAACATTTTCCGTTTTATATTATTTCATCGAACTACGTACGATCCACTTTGTTCTACCAAAAGTATAGATCACAACGTTCGACGGATTAGGTTTCGCGTTCGTATAAAGATGCATCGTTGTAAAACACGTGTCTGTAAAAGAAAGATACTTTTTGGACAACCTAATATATACTACAAGTATTATAAGTAGTACAAGTAGCAACTCCAAACGTTTCGAATAAAAAGTCGATGATATTTTTCCCAATGAACGTAAATAATATTAATATGCGATACTTTAAATTAATTATTGATCGTTTTAATAAACACGTTTCTCTTTTGTTTTACGAAGAAATAGTACGTGTACTTTTGTTGACAATTGGATCCTAACTACCACTTTTGCATTAACTCGTCGTTTCGTATGACATTGTTTCGCATGACAGGAGATTTCTTCGGAACCAAACTGCTGTATTATACGAGGGATACCTCGGTTTCGTTCTAACGTTTATTATATAATATCTCTTAGCGTTTTACGTAAGACATTAATATTCTTTAATGGCGTGTAACATGTGAAATCTAACGATCGTTCTGTCATGTTCTATAAACTGTTCTATATTTTTCTGTTTCTAAATTACACCTAGCAAAGGAACATTGAAACAGTACCGGACACACTTGCGTAGTAATTTACCAAATAGTAATGTCAGTGTATCGACAAGTTATAAGTTGCGTAGCTTACAGATTTTTTATTTTTACTATACTTTTACAACTTTCCATCTATATTTTATTTATTTTAGATTATATCGAACTATACTTTCGATAGTGTCACATGTATCGTATGCAAAGCCACATATGCGTATGTAGTGTCTGAACAATGTCTGAGCAAGGAACGTACCTGAAGAAAGAAACAGCAGAGTAGAACTTAGAATTCTTTATTTCTGTTTACCTTCCGACTTTGCGTCTTCCATTTACGCTATAACGTAGAACGATAAACATAAAACTTACGCGTAAACAAAAATACGTACACACGAAACCAGGACGAAGGACATAAACTTAATCGTAATGAAAAACACGTACGTAATAAACAAATCATAACAATAATCATAACAATAATCATAACTTAACTTAAACCAGAACGACAGACATAAATCTAATCGTAATAAAAACTACGTACGTAATAAACAAATCATAACAATAAAGTAATAAAATCACAAAATAAGAAAACAGTCGTTTCGTCGCGACTTAATTCCATGTTACAACAGACACGCGTAGAAGGTATTAGGTCGTCCGAAAATTTTCTCTCGTTTTATAAGGAAATAATGGATTACTATAAGGAAATAATCGAACTACGTACGATCCATTCTACCAAAAGTAAAGATCACAACGTTCGATAGATTAGGTTTCACGTTTGTACAAAGATGCGTCGTTGTGAAACACGTGTCTGTAAAAGAAAGACACTTTTCGGACAACCTAATAGAATACTCGAATTTTAGATGGTTTATTCGTTGTCCGATTTGCAGCTCGATAGCAAGAGATCCAGCGCAACTGTTTCGGATTCGCCGGTGCTTAGTCCGGAAACAACGGCCATTCTCGAGAACGTAGAAAAGTTGATGAAGGACGCGCAGATCCAAATGAAGGAGATAAGTTTGTCCGCTACGTGCGGTCGCCTTCAAAAATGCACAGACGTGTAAGTGTCCCGATCGATACGCGTGCTTTTCCCTACGAAATCTACCCGATACTTTGCAACGCGATTGATACATCCTCGAACAACGCTCGTTTTTCCTCTCGGTCGATGGATACGCGTTGCGTATTTAGTTTGTAATTTCATGTAGTAAACCGTGACTTCGTAACGAACTACGTAGCCACGGAAGAGCGTCGGAAGAGCTGGAGGAAAAGCGCGCGTCGACGATGCTCGTGTCGCGACCGGCATACTTCAAATCAAACGGACTGACGATGGAGATAAAGATGTGGCGGTACTCGGCGACGACGTATATCGCCGAAGCGCCTAATGTATGGCGACCTATTAATACAATATGTGTGTGCGTCCTACGATATTGACGCTTCGAGACAAAACGACAATAAGATTTGAATTTATTAGCGTGCCGCCACAAATCATTCAACGAGGAAGATCTACCGTCTTCGAGTAAATAATAAATCAATAACATCCACGTACGTCTGTCGCGCGTGTTGCTTGTGTCTCGTTCGATTTCTCGTACGATGCTGCAGGTTAAATGGTTCGAAAAATTCTCGCTCCTTCGTCGAATTCTCAACGATATCGATACACAGCCTGACGTTTCTTTCAGACATCCGGACGAGGCGGCGTTCGACGACGAGAACGATCAACTCTTGTACATCCGTGAGCGAGTGGCCTACAAGTTTCAAGAAGCGAACGGCTGGATCGACGAGGGATCCAGCGATCGTCGACCTGGTCGTGAGCAACGCGACGCGATCAAAGCCAAGAGGACGGTCGATCTAACGGCGCCTAAGTTTCAAACTTCCGACGATCGTTACGAGGAATTCTCGCGACGAAGGAAGCGGTACGTTCAAAGATTCGGACTTTCCTCTTCGTGTCCCGCGCCCGAGGACGACGAGCGCAGAGACGAACATCGTATTACGCCAGAGGACACGCGGAGAGACGACAAGAGGGCGAACGCGTTCTCGGTGCGGATGGGTCCTTCGGTGAATATCAAGGGAGACCTGGTCACCCAAAGCTTGGCAAGCATTCGCATCTCACCGGATCCGTCGTTCGTGCAAGAAAGTCGCAACGTCGCCACTTACGTGGTTCGTCGTGACTTTCGCGGCAAGGACGGCTGTCCGAGAAAGAGGGAGAAAGTCGTAAGAATAGCGGAGGATGGCGAAAGTAGGACGAAGGGGAAATCGAAGAGGGCGAGTTGGAAAGACCGCGTGGAGAGTGGCGATGGATCGGACGCGGCGCGCGTTCCTGGGAAATCGGAAACAGTTGCGGCAGAGGGATCCTGCGATGGTTTGGCGAAGGACGAAAAACTGGACGATAAACTGGACGAAAAATTGGACGAAAAATTGGACGAAAAATTGGGCGATGTGCGCGAAACGACAACGAAGGATCTCGAGAGCGAGGGGAACCTGGAGTCGACGGATCGCGACGACGAGGTCGCGTTGAAGGAGGATTTCAGAGAAACGATCGGGGACAATTCGAACGACGAATCCGAGAGTGAAATTATCGAGGAAGGGACGGACGATTCGGCGATGAAGATATCGGCAAGGGGCAACCAGAGGCAAGTGAGATTCGACGAGCGAGTCTCGGAGAGGAAGGAATCCCCTGGAGAGGAAATAGTCGAGGACGGGAGTCCACCGCGAGCGAAGAATCGCGAAAGTCTCGTCGAGTCGCAAAATACGGAAGAAGCGGATGCAATTTGTGAGGAGAATTCGAAAACACCGTCGACGTTCGTCGAACGTTTGGAAAGCCGACGAGCTTCGAACGATCAATCCGAACGACTCAAAGCCTCTTCGAGGAAACTTCGAACAAACGACGAGCAGGTTCCGTTATCGAGCAAGGAGGTGGAAGAAACGCGCAAGACCGATAAAAGAAGACGCAAGGAGGTTTGCGAGAAGCGAAGAACGGAGGAGGATGAGCGCTATAAGGCGATAGATAAACGTTTCGCAGACATCGTTCAAACATATTGCGACAGAGACGAGAAACAAGCGGGGAATTACGCGGAGGACAACGTTTCGTCGTCGAGCGCGATCTTTACGGAAGATAGCGAGGAATCGGACGATCTTTGCAATTTGTACGAACCTTCCGTGGACGAGCTGGACCAGGTGTTGCTTTCGTACGATAAGATAATCGAGAGCGTCGTTCGATCGACGAAAACGATAGACAGGTTTCTTTCGCGACCGGAGCTCGACGAATATCGCGCGCAAGATACGACGAGAGGAAAAACCGACGGGAAATACACCGTTGATACGGCTGCGATAAACAGCGCGAAGATCGCAACGGTGGAAACCGATGGAGCGGGAAATTTATCGAAACAAATTACGGCTGATGTGGCTGATCGGTTTCACGCGCGCCCTAAACGCAACGCGCTATCGAAAATAAAGAAGAACTCGACGATTAGGTCGGGGAAATCTGCAAAGCGGAATGCAGCGATTGAATTGGAAAATTGGGAATTCGATCGGAGTGCAGAGATGCAGGTGGAAGAACGTCGAGATCGGACGAAATCGACGATCGAAGATAAACGATTGCTAACGAGGAATAAAGGGAACGCGAACGAAGAACGCCAGCTTGATAGGATCGAACGAACGAAAGCTACAACGTGTTTAAAGTCGCCTGTATCGAAGAGAAACGAGGATGGTTCGAGGAGAAGGTGTATCGCGCCGAAAGTCTCGGACAAATTTACGGCGCGAATTTTCGCAACGAACTCGAGGACGAAGGATGGAACGTCTCCTCGGAGGAGGAGAACGTCGAACGAAGAAACCACCGGCTCGAGCGAAGATAACAGCAGGAATTACGAAACGACGACAAACGGTACCAACGAGGCGAGAGACATTTTTCCTCGTAAAACGCGTTTATTTCGAATCGTGAACGATAGCTCGAGCTTGACCGCCTCTTCGATCTGGCCGCAGTCTTCGAGCACGGATACGAAGAGCGCGAACGATACGAAGATGTCGCAAGAGACGTGCAGGTCACCGACGATGAAAGACGAGTCTCGCGACGAGAGGGCCACGATTCTCAGGATAAACGCGCTGGAATCGAAGGACGGAGAGGTTCAGAGAGGTAATTTCGACGACACGACGTTGCGCAATATCGTTCGTCCCGCTGTCTTAAAGGATGTTGCAGCGGAAGAGAAGATAGAGGCAAACTTGATGGCGCTCGCTCTTCGAGAAGAAACACGCTTCGTAGAAGATAAAATAAAGAGCATGCTGAAGGTAAACGAGATAGTGCCTCTGATGGCGAGGAGCTTGTTGCAGAGTTTGAAGAACGACGAGGCCGGTCGTGGAAACTCGCGGTCGCTAGTTTCCGGCAAATCGTCGATGTACAACGCGGTTTCGAACGACGTTCGTACGGTCGAAGCGACGAAATCGGATGACGAGTCTGAGAAACGAGATTCGCAAGTGGAACACGCGCCGCTTGAAGCCAATACGAACGAAGAAATTATCGAAAAAGATATTTCGATAAAGGATAAATCCGAACGCGACGACGCTGTTCTTAACGAGTCGATTCCTAACACCGAGGACCGATCGTCTTTAAAACGTAACGTTGATGTATCGAGAAACGAACATTCTGCAGATAAAATAGACGGCGATATCGGGTTGGCGGAAGACGTTAAAATAAGCGGAGGAATTGATAATACGAAAAAAGATCCTGAAAAGAATGACGAGAATAGTATCTCGAAGAACGATGCGAATTTGCGGATAGAAGTAAGCGAGAAAGAAAATAAAACCTCTACGAGAACTGCGTCTAATATTATTCGCGAGCCAATCGAGAGCAAAGAATGCCACGTTGCTGAAACTTTAAGGAATAATCTGCTGCGGGATATCGATGAAAGAATGAATTTACACGACAATGAGGCAGCTGTGAAGGATATTAACGAAACCTGGCTGAAAACAAACGATGACAAAGATGCGAAGCGTGACGATCTCGAAACTTGGAACAAAAGATCAGTATCTTCGAACGATGCGGTTGGTGAATTGAAAGAAGAGAAATCTGTAGAATTATGTTTGCAGAAAAATTCAGGCAAAAACGAACAGCTTGATAATAATATTTCGCAGGGTTTATCGTCTGATTCTTTGCGCGATTGCGCGTCTCTTCGATCTTCCTCGAGGAACCTTTCGAAAACTTCATCGAACAATACGAAACTTTCACAGGAAGCGAATAAATTCGAGCAGATGGAAACGAGCAACGCGATTGCTGATAAAATAAGCGATATAAATAACACGCATTTCGATAGCTTATTCGAGAAAAAGAACATTTTATCCGATGTGTATGACGGAATGGACAAAAAGTTCTTCTCTTCTACGTGTCTTGATGGCAATATCAATTATTCAAGTTTGCTCGATCAACGGCAGAGGTAAATGAAATATCTTAAAACACGCGCGATTTCAAGTAATTTAATTAATTAATTAATCGGTCATTATACGTTTAATGTTTGGTCGTATTAAGTAAAAAAAATATTTATGAAATTATATCTACGATTATTTAATTACCGTCGTTATTTTCTTTAATCGATTTCCTTGAAATTGTACTATACTCAAATTATACTTTTTACAGGCTTTCTAATGGCACGTCTACGATATCAACGATAGAATCGAACAAGGTACGAAATATTCGTTTAACATTCAATGTGTCCAACGTAATAATTAAACTGCGAATATTTGTACAAGTTCGTATTTTTACGAATATAATTAAAATAATAGAATGTAGGCAGAAGTTTGTTTTCTCTGTTAAATATTATAACGTATTCTGTATATTTAAGCATCTTGAAATATTTTTATAATCCGTTTTCAATAGAGTAGTCCAGCAATAATTCATTTGGCAGGAAGTCTCCTGCCTTTTGTATTAAGAATATATTATCATGTTGGCAATGGTGAGAATTAAGACGAATTTGCTCGATTTTATTAATTTTTAATTAAATTTCTTTAATGTTATCAAAGTTTTTTTTAATTAATTTTAAATTTAATTTTTAGTTGATTTTATTACATTTTAATTTTTCCGAATAAAATCAATAAAAATAATTAATATTTAAATTTGTATATTTTTTAAATTCTTCGTCTAATTACGTTTCATTATCTCAGATGGAAATTTCGGATACTTCACGCTCCGAAGGGGAACTATACATGCCAAGTTCCGGTTCATATTCTCTCGGAGAAGTTCGAATGTTGACAAAGATTCGATCAGATGGCGAAAACACCGATGATTTCGATAATAACGTCGCGATTTTCGTTACGAAAGAGATGTTGACTTCTTGGAACGAATCTTCAAAGGTAAAATAACAAATTTCGTAATATATATATACATGAAATAATATTAAAATTATACTATTTTATAATGATATGTATTAGTATTAAAATTATTCCAATTAAAATCTTAAAATTAAGATCTTAGTAAGAAATTAAATTATTTAAAGAAATTTCAATGCTATATTATCATATTGTTAATTGAACCTTTATTATGAGAACTATACTTTTTAATTATACTTAATCGATTTATTTTTAGTCTCTCATACAGAGCATGGGAGAAATTTAAAATTGCTGATTTGATAGAAAGCGCGTCATAGAAACATGAACACGAAGAATGTATATTGCAAATACTGTAATTGAAGATGCAACGACGGTGACACATTCCCGAATATTTATGATTTGAAAGGACCATTAAATACACGATAAAAAATATCATGAAAGTATTGTAAATAAAATGATAATTTTAGATAATCATGTTATGTGTTGGATTATTATAAGTGTCGTGTAATTAAGCATAAATAATGTGATATGTGCTTGTCATTATTATATCGCGATAACCTGTGATCATGTATTACACTATCTAAAATAAATATAACGATAACCCAAGTTGTACATGAGAATAAAATTTGAGAAAATACTTTGCTTTAAGAAAATAAACTGATTGTGTAAAATGTATATAACCAAAGGGATTACAATACCGTGGAGTATTTCTTAAATCATGCAAACATAACCTTACATTTCGGGGAAAAATATGAAATTAGTTGATACAAGAATTTCTGAGACAACGCATTAATAGAGTATAATTTATCTAACGGTTATTATTAAAATAATGTACTGTATACGCTTTAATGGATAAAAATTATACTCAACATAAGAAAACAACGCGAAAAAAAATGTGCGACAAGTATGTTATCGGTTACTCGATATCCGAAAAAAAACGACAAAAATTTAATTGGAATGACTTTTGTAGTGTTTGTGAGTCTGAAGGGTTTCTATTAAAAATGGTAAATAATTTTTTAAGCTTTCTGAAATTATTATTAAATAGTTATGCCATACATTATGCCTCACGTTATAATAATGTGAGGTTATGTATAAAATGTTTTATTTATAATTTATATACGTCTATAATATTTTATCAAATATTTTAGAATTGATACGTTAATTTCAGATTGATATAAACTCTGATCTTGAACCTCAGGGACCATTCCATGTTTTTATATACAAAATGACAGACAAACTAGCACATGCTGAATATGGTGATCAATATGTATGAACAAATTTTTTATATTTATTGTGATTAACAACGTTATGACAATTAATTTATATTCCAGGCCAAAGCAATTATCTCAAGAATGAAAGAATACTTCTACCAACATCCCGAAATAATAGTTATTGACCCTTTGGACAATATTAGGATTTTAATAAATCGTTATAAATCATACGAAATCTTACAAGAACAGCTACAACTCGATGGTAAATACAAATTCTTAATACTTAGATTCGATAATTTTTTATTAAAGTTAATAAAATATCGAATAACAAATTATTGATCTATATATGGCTCATATGATCTATATATAAAATATGTGAATTATATGATTATACGATCTATCTTTTTATAGGGGTATTTACTCCAAGGTTTGTAGAAATTAAAAGTAAAAATGCTATTGAGAATATATCGCTGTTAAAAATGGCAGGTATTAAGTTCCCATTTCTTTGTAAACCACTTGTGGCTCAGGGCTCCAACGATGCGCATAAGGTAATTTAATCGCTGGAAAACATATGAATGTTATTTAAATATTAATAACAAACATGCTTTTTAGATGATGGTGATTTTTAATGAAGGGGGTGTGAAGGATTGTCAGCCTCCTTGTGTGGCTCAACAATTTGTCAACCATAATGCGATTCTTTATAAGATATATATAGTTGGAGAAAACTTTCACGTAGTCGAAAGACCTAGTTTCAAAAACTTTTATGAAGAAGACTGTACTGCATTAAACACAATATTTTTTAGTTCTCATGATATATGTAAGAGCGATTCCAGGTCTAAATGGTCAATTCTGACAGAGGAAGACATTCCATTAACCGTAAAACCAAAACATGAAATACTAGAGAAGATTGTTAAGAGAGTTACGGAACTTTTTGGATTGCTTTTAGTTGGTGTGGATGTTGTTATTGAAAATCATACCGGAAAATATGCGATCATAGATGTAAATATGTTTCCTGGGTACGATAGCTATCCTAATTTCTTTGAACAATTAATAAGCTGCATAAAGAAGCTATCAATTGAAAACAGAGATTTGCAGCAGCATTCTAAAATTTATACACTAAAAAAGTGTTTAAGCGATGACTTGGATTCTGGCTTTGAAAGCGACGAAAAGAAAAAATATTCTACAAAGAATAAATAATATAAATAACAAGAAAGTGAAGGAGATTAATAAATATATCAAACTGATATTCCAGTTCACTATATTGTAACAAGTACAAAATGATATTATTTGATGAAGCAATGTATGCTTTTTTTATAATGATTTATTTCATGTTTACCCTTGACGGTATTTGAAACTGTTATAGCAGATCTGCGTTTTGTGACCTCGCTACTTTCTAACATTTTTGGGTTGTTTGTTCATGGTACATAGTTATAGTAGGGAAAGATTAATTTTGTTTATTATTAATATTGACATTTTTTTAATAAATTTTGCCCATTATGGTAAGAAACGCATGACTGCCAAAGAATATTTTGTACTTTTCACTTGTATACTATATTTGCATAAATGGTTGAATAAAACACCTCTGGGATTAATATATGTAACGTATATTTATAAATTTACATTTTCAAGTAACAAAATTACATTTGTGAAGTATGAAATTGTACATTAAAACTACTATAAAAATATTAAAAATACACAATGAAAGAATTATTGAATACTATATTTTTTTGTTCAAATAACACTTTCATGTAGTTGCTTATTTTGACAAAACTGTAAATACAGGGTGGTCCGTTTAAATGGTATTATCTAAATATCTATTTTCGCTGTTATATGTGACCATTGAAATACTGTAATTTCATCTTGAAAAACGTTTTCATACAACAATGAATAAGGCAGATCTGGGAGTCCAGACAACGATCTTACTAACTATAAACAGATCTGAACACTTCCATATCGAAGATATCGGCGATGTCGTCCGTCTTTTGAGTCGAAAAAAAATCAAAATGGAGAACAAGAAATGGTCTCATTGTGCGCATATGTGATACGTATATTCATACATACAGATATTACGAATGTCCCAGACAGAGACAGAGGCAGTCTACTCATCTTTGCTTGTTTCACAGAACGAGACCCTTTTTGTCTTCCATGTTTATTTTTCGGAATTCAATTTTCGAACGATTTTCATTAATAAGTGTCGAGACCTGTTTACTGTTTATTCATATGATCGTGCAGTAGATGCTTTGCATAGTCATTTTGATTTTCCATTATATTTCATTGGCAATCATCTCAGCATTTTTATCACAAACTGAAAAATATCTTCATCGCTTTAATCAATGCCTTAATCTCAAAGATAACGTGTAATTTATAATAAAAAATTAATAATGTCATTTATATTAATTGAGAAATATTATACAAATTTGTAAATCTTTCATTTTAAAGGGTTAAAAAGTAAAACATTCAAGGATAATAAATCTCTTTTAGTAACGTTTGTATAGTTTAATTGGTAACACTGATATGCTCATACGCGCGAACCTTTTATTTTTTTGAACACAATGCGCACGATGCTGAAAATGTGTACAACATTAACGTATTGCTCTCTCGATAGTGTGTGTAATTTTATACGAAGCGAAACAAGAATTCAGTATTCATTAGAGACTTAAAATAATATTACCAGTCGATACGATTTAGAATCTATTGATTCATTCAGATTAATTCTTTTGGAACGAGCACATATAGGCGCGTGACTGGTTTTAACAGTGACGTTTGTAGATTCGTGACGTTTGCACGACAAATGATTTAGTTGCAAACACAAATCGCTGGAATAATACTGTTTGTGTGACTTGTGAGTAAAACATAGCCCGAAATGTTTTTCAAAGCGACTAATAAATTTCGTGAAATGTGATAAAATATCGTGACTTTTTGCCAGAATTTTCTTTCACGTGGGCCACCAGAAACAAATGTGGACGAAGGCATCGAAGGAGGAAAAAGATAGAAATAGTACGTAAGAAGGAGAGGTTAATTCGTGCACGGAAAAGAGCCAGAGAAAGAAAGCAAGATACGGAGGAAAAGAGAGGACACTCAGTGCCGAAGCTTTATCTTTATTATGCGCCGCTGAGTGAATTGTCAAGTGAAATCAGAAATGGCTGCCAACGAGCAACAACGCAAGGTGAGTAGGGAGAAATACATTGTATTTTTCTCGAATTGCCAATGGCTTTTCGATACGCCCGTGTCAACAGCGAATTCGTAATACTGTCTAAGGTTAAATTTATCATTCTGAACAGTCGAACGTGTGATTTATTCGCGATGATTTTGAGTCAAAAAACGGGATTTATACAATGTCTCGAGACTAGTCATACTAAAAGGAACAACAACGTCTTGGGCTTAGTTCTATGTTAATAAATATTTGACAATTAGAGGGACTCAAGAACGAATTATACAAGAATATAGTAGCATTTTGCGTGAATGGGAATTTTTTCAAGGGACGTTTCACTTCATTCAAATATTTGCCAGATCATCGGTGCATAGAAAGACGTATAAATTGTTATATGCAGTATTTACATTTGCACAAGCAGCTGTCAGTAGATGATCGGAAAGGTGTCATGAGGTCTTGGAAAAAATGTGCAATGTGCAATTCTCTTCGATGACTGGTTCATATGAAATATGTTGCAAATTTTTTTTCAAAACATCGAAAGCTCATACGAATTTGACAGAGATAGGTAGTGCGATCGAGGCAATCAACGTACAATAGCATTAACGAAAGCTGCGACGTATGACAACCGACATGCCCTAACAATTTTTGACTATACTTCCTTCATTATATCTTTCATTATATTTTTGACTAACGATCCGATTTTTAGATAAATCGAAATTAGCGAGGAATTGCGACATTTCATACTGAAAATATCCTGGACTTTGTGCAGCTGAAGTAATTAGACAGAATACGAAAATTAACATATGCCTGTTATGACGGCGGATATCTATATTTCTTTTTCAATGAGACTACTGCTACTACTACCGTCAATTTTTATATTAATCGTATATTGTCAATATTATTACGAAATATTTCGGGAATGTGGCGAATCTTTCATTCCTTTGACATTGGATTCTCTACCAATCCAAAGCATTTGTAGATCGTTCTCCTCGTTGTACCATAAATAGACGTGATTTTCTTTTTTGTCTTAGAGTTATCATGGAACGCAATCTTTTTTTGGAAAAATCGTTTTTGCAAACGTCGCAGCAAATGGAATCTTTCTCGTGATTTTTTACTGTTAATGTTTAAATTTTATGACCGATTTCATAATATTGTGCACAGAATGTAAATTAATATATTTTTATTATACTCTCGTTTCGTAATAAAGTTGACTTATCGTGAAGGTAAAAATATTGAAAAGATATAGATAAATAACGAAAAGATTAAGATTATTCCATTAAAATGGATATATTTCTGTTTTTATTTTATTCACTTAGGTATATGTATGCGTTGTATACGTGCATATGCACAATCTCCGTCATATTTGTGTGTTGATTCACGTTTACATTTTTTCATCACTTGTATAACAATTCGTTAAGTATGGACGTGAATAGAACATTAGAAAAAGTATGGGGAATAACGTATACTATAAGTAATGCATTTAATTGCACTCGTAATTAAATAATCAATAAAGTTTTTTTTATCAAGAAAATTATTTTTATAAAATTAATATACCTTACATAAAATGATAAAATATTCTTATAATTTCGTTCTTAATGTGCTTAATTGAATAAATAACTAAAAAACATATTATTTACCATTTGGTATATTATATTAGTAATAGTTTTTAGTAAATATTTCATTCAAAAAATGTTTAAATGACACTTGTTCTTATTCATTGTTAAGAAAGGGATATACACATAGATGAGCAATGTATGCACACACATCCATTTCTTAAATTAGTAATAACATATTTTTGTGTGTATTTCTTTAAATTGTACATTTAATATAAACAATTAGTTTTAATATATTGTTATTATCTATGAATGTAGAGATAAGCATATGTGACCTTAGAATCTGTCAAGGTATGTGATTTTAAGGTTTCACAAGTGCTGTAATATAACTGAATATTGTTCTGATCTAAAAATATATGTGATTTTTTTATTGTTATATATCATATTATATAATTTTTGTAACAAATGACAACTAAATATGTTATATATATTAATTTAAGAAATGGTATTTGTGTTTATATCTAAATATTTTTGTTAATTTAATTACAAATATTTTAATTCATATCTTATTAATTGTTTAACATAGTATTAAAAACATACTTTTACTATATTTAAATAGAAATAGAAAATAATTACACACATACACACACATACTTTATTTCAATTAGATTACTTTACATAATTATTATTAACCAGTTATATATATTTGTAAAGAGATATGTACTAATAGATCTGTCAAATTGTATTAACAATTAGGAATCACGAGAATTAAGAGAACCAGCCCACCATGCAAGGAGACCAATGAATGCTTTTCTTATTTTTTGTAAACGTCACCGTGGTTCTGTGCGATCTGGTTTCCCACATTTAGAAAATCGAGCAGTTACAAGAGTTCTTGGAGAATGGTGGGCCACTCTTCATCCAGATCAAAAACGTTCTTATACAAATCTAGCACAGGAGGTAAATTACTTGCATAAGAAGGAAGTTAAATGTCATGCTAGTAATTATACTGTTGATGTAATTTGACATAGTCAGCTGTAAATCTTACAAACTCAATACTGTTTACAATTCTACACAAATTTGTATTAAAAACTAAATATTTTTTTTAAGTTGTATGTTAGAAATTTTAATTACAAATTTTTTATTTTCCTAATTTTAATTTTTATGATTACAATTTAAAATTTTTCAGTACAAAGATGCATTCTTAAATGCAAATCCTGACTTTAAGTGGTACAAATTACCAGCACCTCCTTTACGTACTTTGAATACTAGGCCTACAAACAAAAAGGCAGAAACAAATTCTAATGAGCAAATAGTAGAAAGTGTAAAATGTGAGAACAAGTCTTCCGATTATTCAAAATCTGATAAGCGAGATGGACAATCAATTCAACCAGGAAAATTAGCTGATGAATCCCAAATTGGTGGCCTCAGTTCATTATTTACACCTCAAAAAACACAAGCAGCAGATGAGAAAGTGACTATTAATGGTTCTGTGATTGAAAATGATACTGAAGTTCCAAAACCTCCTAAAAAAAGATATTTAGAAGTACCTTTTTCATCTGATAATAAGAGAGAATGTAAAGCTGATCTTTTTGATGCAAAAAAGAGAAAAAAATCTGAATCAAATAATAATGTGCATCAATATGTAAGGGACCTTTTTAATCAAATTTTTCTTAATTAAATCTTCTACTTTTAAATAATTAAATAGTCGTACTATTTCTTAAAATTTCACATTTCTAACATTAACAATTGTATTTAGGATACAGAAGATGAAAAAACAGAAATAAATAATTTTTTAACTACAAACATGCCTTCAGAAGAAAGTAATTTTAGAAGTGAACGAACATGCAAAGGTTTACGTTATCAAAAGTTCCTTGCAGAACAAATGAAAAATGTTGGTGCATCAGGACAGCAGCCTAAGAGAAGAAGACAAACTGGAAATCGTAGGTAAATAATTACAATATTTCATTAAACTTGTGTTACATGTAAAATATGATTTCATCATTAATAACCTACTTCTGATTGATGCTTTCATTAGCACTGATGGTCAAGCAACTGAAAGAAGAAACTCTATTTCTTCAAATGTCAGTGAAAAAACAGATTCCTTGAGTAGTGAAGGTGGAAATAGCTCTCGCGGCGAATTAGAGCATCTTGTTGAAAGGTAATTTAAATTCGTTTATCATTTGCATTTTTATCATATATATGGAAACAAAAAGAAATAATATAAGTATTATTTAAAGCGCCGAGGGAAATATAGAAGCATCAAAGCCAGAAGAGACAGAAACTGAAGGTGCAGAAGGACAAGTTGATTTTGGACCATGGACTGCAAGAAAAAGGTTTCGAGCTGAGTAAGTTTAATGTCATTTTATAGTGTTACGCATTAAAATATTGTGTAATATACAACGAAAATGTATTATTTTCATTTTCTTATGTAGGGACTTTAATTTAGAAAAGAAAATTGAAGCGTTACCATCTTTAAGTTTAGAAGAATTTCAGGAAAAGAAGAAGCAACAACGTACGAAAAAGAAAAAAATTGTACAAAAATTAACATCGACTTCGAATAATAAAAGGCATCAGAATAATTTCGACAGCAACGATCAAGCAAACAGTCAAAACAATACAAAAATATCTCAAACAGAACGTGAAAATTCAGAAGATGCTGAGAAACTTTTAGTTGGAAGTCAAAAAAGGAAAGCACGAAAACAAAGCATTACACGTAATGCGGCAGCTATAAATGATTCAAAGCAAATTGAGATCGAGGAACCCAATAAATGTAAGTATAGACGAAATAAACTGTATTGTTTATTTCTTGCTTTCATTTTGCTTCTTAGTGTTTTGTTCATAAATATAACAGAAATATTTCTTGTAAATTTTTCAGATTGGAACGTTATTATTTTTATGAAAGAAAAACTTATAAAAATTGTCTTATCTTTTATTTAGATTATCTATGTTTTCATCTATAAAGAAGTGAAAGTTACAAGAAGAAATTGTACTTTTTATTAGGAACTAGAATTCAGTTAACTAAAGCTTCAATTTATATTATAAGGTATTTATGTATGAGTTAGAAAACATAAATTTACGTTCCAATCTGCAAAGTTTTCACTTGTACTTAAGTTTTATAATTTGTAAACATTCTTGGTTTTAAAATTGAAATATTTAAGATTATGAAAATAGAGGATATTACGTTTCATGTTTGTTATTATAAATACGATATAAGCTTATATTATTTAATTATTATCAAGTTAATTAATTATGTAAATATTGATAGCATGGTGTGCATCGCCGGACTTAGAAGCACTGGCATGTCTTGCAGCAGTTGCCGCCAACAGAACAAAACTTACCAAAAATAATACATAAGAGATATATATTTTTCATATTTAGCAGTCGTTCATGACGTAAACTTGTGCTAAGTAAACCAAAATCTTATTCATTTATTTCTTAATACAATTTCTTATTAGCTGAATTATTGAAATAATTGCTTTGATTGCTGTTAAAAAAAAAAAAAAAATAATAACGTTTCCGATTTATCAAAAATGTACTACGTTATTATTGTTAATATCTATGTCGTTAATCGCTGTTAATATGAATATTAATATTGTGACTGCTATAATTATTTCGTCACTCAAAATGTAAAAATATTTCTTTTATGTTGCATGAATGTCCCACAAATGTGGTTTATGGAATATAGTTTCTTGTATAGTTTGTTAATGAATAATCTTGTTACTATTACATACTGAAGAAAGATTCTAGTTTTCACTTTGCGTTGCGTGTAATTATTAAAATGTTACGTCAAGCATTCTATACTTGTTAATAAATACCTGCAGTGCAGATGATAGCCATTTTATCTAACTTGAAATAAAAATGCCCGCATATTGATATTCATTGGGAAATTTGTGCAACTTCCAACAAAGGACGTATTATAGTCATATAGGACCTGACTAGGTAAATATTCGCTGAAGGAAAGGAAAGGCGCATGCAATAAAAGAGTGTTAGTGAGCGTGTATTATGATGATATTGGCAGAGCAAGGATTTGATCTTGCAAATTAATTTTTTTAATATAAAATGTTATAAATAATATGAAGAAGGGACGGTAACAAAACCGTGAACCTTCATAAAGCCGATGAGCAGGGCATTTTATCATATCTATGTGTAGTAACGATAACACGTAATAATTGCAAAGTCACTTGTTACTATTTTTGTTATTATCATCGGCGTACGTTTTATCTATATTTCATTATGTTCTGTAAACATTTTATGTACATAGAAATAGGTGCAGTATTATGGAAGATATCCTTCATGATCTGAATATCAAAAAAGGATATAATCAAAATATATATGTATAAATATATATATATATATACATACGCAATATACATGTACACATGAAAGAGACCACTGTTTATATGCTGTACGTGCGTACATGTAAATATACATAATAACGTTACGTATGCAAAATAAAAAATGTAAATTTTATTATTAGCGAATATTCAATATCAGGAAGCGTATGTATACGTGTATGTATATAATTTGATAAGACTACGTATATATATATGAATGTATATTTATAATATTTATATAACTATTATTCTAGAATTAAGACCATGAAAAATGCGTTTCTGTGCTCTGTTTGAGAAAGTAAGGGACTTGTCTGTGATTTTGGCTAAAGGAGTTTTTAATATTTTATATTTTTCTATTGATTTTTTCTCTCGTTTTTCTTTCTCACTTTTTTAATTTCATTGAAGTCTAACTCCAGACACTATTAGTGAAATGATAGGAACAATTAATGTTAGTAAATTCCTCTGTAATATGGAAATGAGTATACTGATTATATTTCAAATGTGCCTTGAAGAGATATGAACATAGATATTAAACAATGACCAACAATATATTTTCGATTCGTTTCGTAATTCTAAATGTTTTTTGGCTTTTACATTTATACCTTCCACATTTTCTAATTGTGGTTACGGTACATAATTATAGCGAGGCTTTTACGGCCAACGTCCGAATATTTGGAATTATAAAAGAAAAAATTAAGGGAAAGTGTTTCGAATTTTACTGCACAAACATCTATGTACCTAGCTTTAAAAGTATAATTTACACGAACATACATATTATATATATATATATATATATATATCTATATTATATATATACTTGTAACATATTGTATACCGTTTATATGAATAATAAAGATATAATATTTTGATGTAATCTCTCGAAATTATTTACAAGATATTTTGAATACAAAAGGGATAATATATATAACAGTTCTTATTCTAAAATAACATTCATTTTTTCAATGTATGTTTATTTTAAAAAAGAAAAAAAAATAATGCGTAAGGAGTCTTATTCTAAAGAAAGCTTATTACTTTTTTTAAAGAAATTTTTTAAAAAATTTTTATTAAAAAAGATTTGTTAATTTTATTTATGGTATTTATTTAAAAATATTTCCCAATTCGCATATGTATTTTAGACGCGAATATGGATAGTAATTCATAGGAATACTTCTATGAGGCATGAAATTAAATAAATATTTGAGTAATATGTATTTGCGGCATTTTCGTCATTTTCCAAAAATATATTATGATGCTTATGTTTTATTTAATTTGCTCGTGTATAAATATAGATAATATATATACATGTTTCTTCTCAGTTGTGATTTTTAACGTTAAGATTACAAATCTGTCTTATTCATCCTCTCATTGGTATTTCGTTTTACACATTTCTATTTTTTTATTAATTTAAAGATAATCAATTTTCACGTATCGCTATTGATGTTGATATAAGTAAATAAATTTCGTAAATATACATATAAGACCGTTAAATAACATTACATCAAACTTATTTCATGACTATTTATAGTGACACATGTTTTATAAACATATAGTTCTTTTAATTTCGATTTAAACTTACCTAAATACTGCGTTCTCATTTTAAAATTACGACTTGTATACAAAATGTTTTGCTTTCAAATTATTCACTATTTTATTAAACCATTTTTAAACTGTTGATTATGTATGTAATAATATTCATCATATCAAATAATATTCATATCAAAATTTCAAATTCATAGAAAATTTATATTAGAGACAATAATTTTGTATTGAAATTAAAAGAATTATATGTTTATAGAACATGTAGTTTTATAAATAATCATGAAATAATTTTGACGCAATGTTATCTTGTATGTCATTTTTATATTTTTTTCAGCGTCGCTCTGATCGCAGCGTACGAGTTTAAAATTTTCGTAGGCGGTTGTACCATCTAGAAGTTTGAAATCTATGAATCATGACTAAAACAGCTTGGCAGACTCAAGCATTTGGATGGTATTGTTGTGTAGCGTAGTGTATGTATCACGCTGTAGTGACACCTCCGTCAAATTACATGACTTGCTTGTTTGTAGAGTCAATGCAGTTCGCTTGAATCTACCAAGTCGTTTTTATTTCACAGTAGATACTTGGAAAGCGATTTACGATATTTCAGGATGGGCGTAATTTTCTTGGAACACATCGGAGGTACTCGGTTGTTCTCCTGCGCTTCTTGTGACACCAATCTTACAAACAGAGGTCAGCTGATAAGCACGCGTTTTACGGGCGCGACAGGCCGTGCTTTTCTATTTAACAAAGTCGTCAACTTGAATTACAGGTATTCGCGTTTTTCCTTTGTTCCTTTAAATAAATTAACGTCAAACGTAATATACAATAAGTTTATGTTTACATTTCTACCTTTTGAAAATTCTCGCGCTTGACAAAGACAATTGTGTAAGGTGGAATGTTATTATACTCATGTACCTAAGAAAGAGGGACAGAGGAGTTGAATTTAAGTAAAAACTCGAATTATCCGTTAGAGGAGAATGTGTTTAAACATATGGGAAAGAGAACTGTAATTGTTTGTAAAATTAATTACAAAGGTACAACAACATGGCGTCATTTTGTTTTGATATCTTCATTGTATTATTTGTATATTACGTTAAGATTTATTAGTACAGTTTAAAGAAACTTTGTCATTCTAAAAAAACTTATCATTATTTCAAATAAAAATAATTTTATTGTTTCATTGATTATTTAAATGTTTGTAACTTTTAGTACTTATTTTATATTTATTATATGTTATTCTTAGGTACATGATTTTTGCTGTTTATACATATGTAGCTTTTTAACATTATTTAGCACACAGGATACCATTCGTAAATGTACAAAATCTCAGAGAAATTGTACTAATGGAATAATCTTATATGATTTTTGCCTATTCATAATTTAATTTGTCTACAATGATACACAGCGAGGTACAGGATAGAGTGATGTTGACGGGTCGTCACATGGTCCGAGATGTCAGCTGCAAAAACTGTGATGCTAAACTTGGGTGGGTGTATGAATTTGCCACAGACGAGAATCAACGATACAAGGAAGGCCGTGTCATCTTGGAACGTGCTTTAGTCACTGAGAGCGATGGAATGGGCGACAATATTTAATAACATACACATAAGTAGCACGCCATAGGATAAGAATACCTTATAGTCAGTGCTAAATCAGTTGTCCTACTTCTCTGTGTTCTTTTGTTATTTGGAATAATCAAAAAGAAAAGATTATTGTATGAGTATACGATGATTTATATATAATATTTAATATCTAATATTTTTGTAAACATGAAACATATATTATTATTTCAAAGCTATTTTTCATTCAATGATGTATTTTCTGCTAGGGCAGATTTGAAATAAACGTTCGGTCTATTATTGTGTTAGAATTTTAAATATTACTATGTTTTTCTATATTAAAATTTATTGTAAAGAAAAATATAGATTATATTGAATAAGTAAGATAAATTGTAAACTACGACCAAATATATTAATTAACTTAATAGATCTCAGAGAATTTGTTAGTTTATTACAAACAATATTTTAATCATATTTTTATCTACATCGATCAATAAATAGACTGCGGATGTTTATGCAAATTCATATTTTTATGAATATGTAATACTAATAAAATAGAACCTCAGAAAATATTTGTTTTACTCACCTCAAATATTAAAACGGATATTGTACTTTGAATATTGTACTTTTATATATCTTTAATATTAATGCACTCTGCATTCTGATATTTTTAAATTTCTCACAATTGCATAAAAATCCTCAGTTTATTAATAAAGATACACTAAAAATAGGAAGAAACCTAATTGAATTTTGAACGTATACTAAAAAGCCAAACAAAATCGACGTACATTTGAGACACAAATGAACCGCGCCCCAAGTTATAGCACGATTGGTTGTTATCATTCGAGCGTGGTCCAATAGCAGAGGTGAAGTTCTGCAACGAGTTGCGACGACGAACCAGTGTGGTCACGTAAGCCCACCATACCGCATGGTGGATACATGTTTCCTTTAACTAGACGTCGTCTAAAATGCTATAATTGTGTATTGTTGTTATTTTGCAAGGGACACAACGAACTTGTGGAACAGCCACTTCCAGCCTTGCATACGGTAATTATATCAATATGTAGCTATATTATATAGCATAAACGCGTTGACCGATTTCAGCATACAATTTGTTGTTTGCTGTTCGGCTCAATGGCCGAGTGCTAGTCGCACAGTAGCAATATATTTGTTACATTTATAGAATATCCCTTTCACCTATTTCGTGACAATTTCGATAATTCTACTACATATACGTTTTACTGTGAAAGTCGATTAATATTAATACATAAACGAATTATTTTTTATTCTCTTGTTTTTCTCTGTTCGTTCTCTGTCCTTTCCCCTCTACTATCCCACGCACACAAAGATAGCAGCGGCACCGACGAACGCGACTCGAAGAATTCTACGGAAATACAAAATGAAATTTTTCTAAGAAATATTTAGTTTTATCATATGAGGGTTTTAGAGCCTTTGGTGGAACTTTGATGAACAGTTGCGTTATTTCTGTCCGTAGAAAGAATCGTATCTTATCTATCAGTGTTAGAGGCATGTAAAGTCTCGCACACGGTGCCATTGCACCGCCGAATGGATCGTAACAGGAAAGCTATAAATACACACGCATCGCGGGGTAAACAAACTTGACCTCAGTGGAATTCTTATCGATGTACCTACATGTCGATGCAGTGTACACAGATATTTTGAGGTTATGTTGGACATTAGACTTCGTTATACGCCTATAAAGACCGAAAAAATCCGACGATTCGATATTACAGAATTAATATATTTCTTTTCTGAAGACTAAAGTAGTGTTTACAGTATTATAGTTGGTGAAAAAATTATTTGGAATATTTAGTGTACCTAATTGTAATAAATTATTGTTATTGTTTTTTATGGTACGTTGTACGTTATAAGTTTTATTTTTGAAATAAATACAAGTAGGTTTAATATAATAATTTTGTAAGACTAATTAATATTAGGCGTTCGATTTTACTTGCTGCACACTTTCACTGTTCTAGAAAGTTGATATGTTAATTTATGTTAAATATTAATTTTATGATACTAGGTTAAAACGATAAAGTTATGGGTGATTTAAGATATAAAAGTTAATAATTAACTTTCGAATAATTGAAATCTGCAACCCTTGCTATTTGAGTATTATAATACAGTTAATATAAAGATAGTTTTTAAAGATGTATTTTAGTTAACCATGCAATTCTATTATGTATGTATATAATAAGATTTTTTTATATATTACATACAAATAAATGTGTATACTCATATAAAATCATTATTAACATTACCCTATTGAATTTAATATTAAAAATGTATTGTATCGGTATTAGAACAATATTTTAGCAATAAATTTCAAATGAATTAGATTGTCCTTGATATATTGTATAATTTTATTTTTAAATATTTAACTATGCAAAAAATAGCAAAAGCCAAATATTTGATAACTGTTTATATCTTAATAATATTTATTAAAATATAATCCTCATTTAGATTCTGGGAGGACATTAGGGTTAAATTCCTAATAAATTATTTTACATAGAATACATCTTAAAAATGTAAATATTCTTTATATTTAATACAGAGTGCTGGCACATACCTGGTTTTGTTTAAATATTATTGGAACACAATTGAATCATAATCCGAATAATCCAAAAAAAAATTGGAGCTTTTAATATTTGCTCCTTATCACTAAAGCACTGTTAAAAATGAAGTGGTCACCCGGTGCTCTATTCTGCGAACAAGTTGGTGAATTGACTCGAGTTTTCTCACAATGGAATGAATGCGAGCAAACTGTAGTTTTATATGCACTACTTCGTCGCATTCCTGCAGTTCAAGCAAGGTTTCTTGCACAAGCAGTGCAGCATTCCTTGCACTCTGTTTCTGAATTAGACTCACAGGAACTAAATGCTAATAATCCAGGTAATTTTTATAATTGGTATAAACGAATTTAAGAGTCTGAAAATGTAAATGATTTTTACCAAAAAATGTTGTTGTAGCATTTATTAACTCATTGCTATCAGAATCAACAGAAATTGCTATAAATCAACTTTTAACACATTTGCCATTATTAAGGCCTGGGAATATAGAGTGCAAACAATGTTACTTAGTAGCAATACCAGAATTAGTAAGCCATTGTGTAACTACAGGGCAATTTACCGAACAAACTCAACAACTGTTAAGTTATTGTTTGATTCATCCAGCTATAACTAGTCAAGATAGACGTTCTTTGACTCAGTGGCTTCGACATCTTGAAGAACGTATTAGTGGTACACCACCAATACACAGTCTCGAGGAGTACACTAGTACTACTATTAGGTGAATTAGAAACAGTTATATAATATTTATGTATAATATTTATGTATATATTTATTATATTAATTTTATTTACTTTTAATTTAGATGGGATAATGCATGGCAGCGAAATTCTAAACAGCAAAGTGAACAGACAAGTTTATTTGGCACACAATCAGGCACTGCCTTCAATTTGCAATTTCCTCCACCTGTAACTCGTCAACGACGATCGAACAGTTTAACACCACCCGTTGCTCCATCTCATCATCTAGAAGTTGTTGATCGCAGTAACAATATAAATTGCACAACTAAACATAAGCCACGAAGCTTCAGCGTATCTGGGGATCATACAAGTTAGATTAATTTGAAGTTAATGTTAACAAGAGTATTTCGATTATACTTTTATTTTATTTGAATAATTGTTGATTTCTAAACAGGCAATCTTATTGGATTAGGCCCACTGAGTCCTCAAAGTTCTTGCGCTAGTAGCGGCAGCGAAGGGCGTTTAGATGAAACATCTACTCGATCGCTTGCTAGCGGTATGAGAGGTACGTATATATAATTTCATAAATTTACGCTTCATCGATAAGAAAAGTAACATATTATCTATTTTTCAGATGTCCCATCATGGCTTAAAACTTTACGCCTTCATAAATATAGTTATCTGTTTGTTACTCTCAGTTACGAAGAAATGCTTCAGTTAACTGAGGAACAATTAGCAGAACAAGGCGTGACGAAAGGGGCCCGACATAAATTAGCCCTTTCTATCGCAAAATTGCAACAACGCTATACAACACTTCTAAATTTAGAGAAAGACTTATTACAACCAACGCGCGATAATACACAATCGGCTTCGTTTTTACAAGGTCCGACAGTATTGATTAATACGATCGATGAATTAAAAATTATCTTAGCTACTCCCATGAAACCCAGCCAAGAAAATGATCTTCAGGATATACCTGCACAATTCACCAAGGTTCTTGGAAAACGTGAGTATTGCGTAATTATTAATGTAATGTTTCAAGATAATATGATATATACCAGATAACAAGAATAAAAATATTCTAACACGTCGTGTTTGTTTGTTTTGTAGTGTGTAGCCGGTTGGCACTGGATAGCGTGGATGACGGTATTTTATGCGCTTGTATTAACATATTAGAGAAAGTATTGCAGCATGATTGCTTTACTCCAAATCAAAAGGAGAAGGTACAACAATGGCGCAGTAGACTTGGAAATCCACGACCGACTCCAAAGTAAGGAAAAGAGGAATAACTAAAAGAAATAACTTTTCTTTTGAAATCATGATAATTATAAAGTTCGAAATAAATAGCTGGATATATAATTAACATTCGTACAATTAAAATTTCAGATGGCAACATAATTATGGCTACAATAATAGAAGGTACTGTAACCCCCAGCAGCACAATAGAAAACCAAGTTTAAACTTAGGACACGTCCATAATACACATCCGCAAAACAATTCTTTTGTGGTTAGCACTCACAGAAACAGTATATCTACACCATATTTACAAAATAATCAGAACCAAAGCGTAAATCAGAATACTTTACGTCCAGTCCATGCGACCAAAAAGCGACCTAGTTTACAAGAATCTAGTTTACAGGTACGTTTTTTATTAAGCTTAATTTCGCATTTAGATGCGAGCATTTTCACGAGAAAAATTAATTTCTATTCACATTTTAGCAGTTACAAAGAACGTTACAACGCACATACAGTGCACCGAGGGATCATTTTCTTAGCCCGAGTAGCAACAACGCATCCGAAACAACGGAGCCAGAAATCAACTCTCGTCTCGAATCTCTTTGTTTAAGAATGACGGAACAAGCAATCGGTGGTTTCGGTGAGGCCTAATCAATTCTTTGTTTTTTTCCTTGACTGGATCTACACAAGTAAGTCCTGTTAAAAACAGAAAAATTATAAAACGACATATATGTCCGAGCTCCGTTCTTTCAAAGTCGAAGGCAAGACTGACGCCCTTACATTTTGCGAGAATAAAGAGACTCCGACAGCAATGATAAATGCTGACAAGTAGCACGTATAAACGTGCATGCATTCTCACGCTTTAATAGCCCTACCAAATGAAATGTCCAACATTTGAGACATTTACACCAAGAAAACTCAGTTTTGCGATGTCAGAACGACGCGCGAAGGAAAACTAAAAAAAAATATTTTTTATTATATCTGATGCAATTATACTATTTAATTGAAACTGACAGAATTTGGCAAGCCAAATGCTATTAGGAAGATAGATTCTTTCCTTGACTAATTGCTGCATCTATATAAATGTATTATATAAAGAATATATATGTATACACATATGAGATAGAATTTTATGGGAAGCGGATAAAAAAACGTATAACATATATTAAAACGAAAAAAAAGGGGACGAAAAAGGTACACCACATTAATTGTGCGATGTTTGCAATATTATTATCTTCGTGTGTTATCCATTTCGGGAAATGGAATTTGTCTGATTTTAAGCGCCAGGACACATTATATACTAATGTATTCATTTTAACGAACTGACTGATTTTACTTCTTTTTAACATTACTACGATAATTATCTCTCCGTTCTACTTTCTTATTGCCACCGCCGCTATTGCTACTACTTATTACTCTATGTTCTGTCACCATCGTTTATTACTATTCCGGCCGATAGCTAATTCGCCACACCATCATTCTCATTATGTTCATCATTGTCTTTACTGCTTGTCATATTATTATTATTATTATCATCATCATTATTATAGTTATTACTACAATTATTACTTTGTAAACTCTTATTACTGCTACCGTTTACTACCATTTCTCCGGGTGACCACTAACACCATTATTAATATGCTTTCACGCTATTGCTATTTTTACCCTCCTATCGTTACGACTGTTTCTACCATTATCATCTATCAGCTATGCTATTACTATTACCATTACCCTACTACAAGTAGCCCTCACAACTACTCTTACTATTATGAGTACTGCTAATACTATAACATTATACTCTCCCCGCTATCGTCATTATTACTGTATAGTTCTCCTTAGAGGAAATGGAAAATCATACTTAAAAGATATAATACACAATATTACTTCGTTACATACACTGAAAGAAAAGGAAGAAAGAAAAGAGACGAAGCGCTGTCGCATGTACACGTTCTAAATTCGCCTTCGCAATCACGATTGTTGGAGAGAAAAAAGAATAGGAAAAGATGACATGCAGCGGTGTGTATACTTTGTAGTTTGCGCACAGATCTCGTGATTCTTTATACTTTTACGCGAGGAAGAAGATAAGGGAGAAAGCGAGAGAGAGAGAGTTACCACGTGTCTCTTCTTTTAAAGTCGCAGTTAACAACTATAAGTAGAAGAGGATAGGAAGTACTGAAGGAAAGAAAAAGGGAGTAGGGGAAGAAGGCGAAGAGATTATTAATAATAAACGGATTTTTTAAGGCCTTAGAAAGGTATATGTCTCGTGCTAACGAACGCTAAGAAGGGTATAAGACTAAATAATTAAATATACACATGTAGCGAAACGAGTCGAGGAATGCTAGAACTGAAAGAAAAACTTGCATTATGCTTTCATGATGCGACATCGAAATCTGTGGCTTTAAATTATAACCGTACACCATACTATATAAAATGCACTTATTAGCACTTTAATCGTAACTACGTCGCGAGTAAAACCGTAGCATAATATTTTTCGTGCAACAAGGTTAGGAAGGAAGAAGGAGATACGAGAAAGAAAAAAGATGAAACGGGCGGCGATGATTATGATGAAAGAACGAGAAACAGAAGTGAAAGAAAAAGGAACATGTAAAGATACGGGAAAGATTAAATTTAATAACTAAATATAATAGTATTAGCGATAAACTGATATAACGTATCGATAAACAATATATGAGACAAGCAAACAAATAAGCAAAAAAAAAAAAACAAATATATAAACGAAAGACTGAACAATTCACGCGCCGTGAGCCGCGTGGTGAATTTCGGGCGTTTCTACATTCGTTTGATTCTCGATCAGCTGCACGGCCGCGTGAATAAAAACAATTGGAAGACTGTGGAAGGAAAAACCTGTCAAAATATTAAGAATTAGAGAACGAAGCGCGAGAGGAAAGAGAGAATGAAGACAAAAAATCGAGTGAAAGAGAAAATTGGATGAAAGGGCGGGAGAAGAAGAGAATACGTTTGTATGTGCGTGCATGTGAGAGTATATATCAAGTTAACGAGAGAGTAATTTGCTAGCTATATATCTAGGTTATAACGATTTATTCTAATGATTATACTCTTATTAGGATCATGAATCTACGTAATGGCGCGCGGTGATTTCTCGGTTAATTAATTAGCCTGTTTGAATGAAAAAAGAAATCGTCTACACGAAACAGATTAGAGGAACGATCAATCGATACGATATTTTGCGGTGATCATTCATCCCCCATATTCTTTCCCCCTTTCTATAATTATGAGGAAAAAAAAAAGAACAAATTGACGAAAGAATCGAGTTTCATATACGATTTTACGTATACGCTCATCCTATTCACGTATACATATACACGTACATATAGCATGCATACATAAACACTCGTATACACAAACGGACATTACGTATATCCGACTAGAATCCCAGAGATGTTTCGTATATAGACAGGAAGGCAAACACGTAATAATTTTTCGGGAGAGACGGTCAAAAGCTAGTCAAACGTGAATACAATTTCTAATTTCTACCACTTTTAAATGTGTATAGATATTATTTGTACATTTAATTGCGCAAAACGGGGAAAGGAAAAAAAAAAAGAAAGAAAAGAAACGAATGAAGGTTAAAAAGTGAAAGCGAGGGCGAGCGCGCGCGATTTGAAATCCTTAAATGAAAAAAAGATAAGAAATGATAAAAAAAAAAAGAAAGAAGATAAGAACGAAGATCGGAGGAAAGATCTAGAGAGAGAGAGAGAGAGAAGAAAACAGGTGGAGGAAAAAGATATATACGACGACTTTAGCGTTAACGCATGCAAGAATAAAAGCTGAAAGACTGCTTCCAAACGACTTCAGGAAATTCGTTCAACGTAGGATTTATTATTTCATACTGAAACGCAGTATCTAAATAAACGCGATCAATTTTAAAAAGGGCAGGACCTGAACTAGCTAAGAAACGCAAAGAGATATTATTCGCATCGAGCGAACACGCATGATGTGTTTATCAGAAAAAGTTAAAAAAAAAAGGAAAAAAAAAAAGAAAGAGAAGAAGAAGAAATAGAAAAATGTAACGGAAGCGTGATTCTGCCAAAGATCGACGACCGCTGAAACGATCACAAACGAACGAGAAAAGAACGAAGAATACGAAATCCGATACGTTTGTCGACGCCCTGTCTTTGTTTAGAAAATTGTTGTTTGCCAGGTTTCGATGCTAACGAGCTACGCGATATTTCTTGCGAAAGTGACGCTATGCGATTCCACAATTTTATACCGTGTATATTTCAATATCAAGGTCACACGGTCGCATGCATTAGATTATTAGCAGATTGCGAACGTTTATTCAGATTTTTACGAATACGACTGAACACAGGATTTACGTTGAAATTTGTTCTACTTTTTAAATATTACGTACTTCGCTATAGATATTTTGTACATTCATATATATATTACTGTATGCATTCTTTACGTTTTCATACGTTTAAATTTTTCGTAAATGGATAAACCTTTGCAATCTAATCATTAAAGTTTGAACCTGTCGAATCCCATTGGCGCCACGATTGCGAACAAAATCGTCTGCATTGAAGCCAATCTTGATACGAGGCAAAGCAGTTATGGTGTACATCACGCGCATAAACGAGATACGAAGGGAACGTTGCACTTATAGTACTTACGCTGTCGTTATATATCGAGTCCACTGTTTGATCGTGGACAATATTCCATAAATTTTGCCTCATATAGTCGTGAGGGATAACTGGTGCGGTGGCTTTCGGCAGAAGCACAGCTTACTGCGATTCGATAGCATCGAATGGATAAGACGATGTTAAATTTATATTCTCACCATTGAAATTCTGGAGACTTTCGGGTGCAGTGCCTTTTTAAAAGGACGATTTCCTGGCGTTACTAGATTTCGTTATCGGTATAAGTCGATTGGAAAAATATGATGTGCGAATACTTTACCTCCACATCGTATAAAATTGAAGTCACATTTGAAAAGAAAAAGAACATTTTTTTATTTTTAACTTTCTTCTATATTTTTTTATATATTCGTAGCATAGAACATGTACGTTTCAACGACATGTTTAAAATCAAATTCAACAACGAACACGTAACCAACTGTACTGCCCTCGTCGATTAAGAACTATTATCTCCGATTTTTATCTTTACTTCCCTGCGCCGTCCTTTATCTTTCTTCGTTAAATAATATCGATTCGAAAATATTTAGTAATTATATCCTAATAGGCTGTATATATAACTTGTTTTAAAAGACACGGGTTGCCTCGAATATTTGCATGTTTTAAAAGATGGAAAGGAAAAAAGAGGTTAGATGAAACATTTTATTTAAGAAGGGCTCTCTAGTCATATAGAACTTCGTAGATTTGATATCCCAGTTAAATCAAGAGCTAAAAGGCTCCTGAATAGAATTTAAAGTAAACATTTTGGGAACTGATAGATCATAAGGTCGAAATCGTTGAACCGCGTATCTCAAATTTGGTTCAGTTCTCATAGGAACACGTAGAATTTATATATATATATATTATTTTTTTTAGATCTTTCAGATCTTTAGATCTTTCAGAGCTAGCCAGCTTTGTCAGTATATTATGAAATTTCTGAAAAAGTTGGCTGTAACGCTATCAAAGAATTCTTCTAAAAGGATGCTCTATACACGCGGAAAATGCTTTGGTAATTTCGATCGGTAAGAAATCAATTTGTGAAAGCTTCGAATTCTCCGATATTTGTACCAGCCAGAGTTGTGCAAAGATGGCGGCCAAGATGACAGGCCGTCGCATTATAGATGCGCAGACGTTTGACACTCGACGATCAGTCGCCATGCTTATCCATTCGTTGCATTTGCTTTTAATCCGCTTCAGAGATTATGATCTCTTGTACCGGCGCGGGGACAAATGAGTTATTAAAACGCTATATAGCACAGGATATACTCTTTGGCCGGATGCTTGCGTTTCAGGTGATCGACTACTTAGAACTCAACTGCGGATTTTTATGCATCTACAGGAAATGTAAAGGCGCGAAAATACACAAAATGTACATGTACAATATATTACAATATTTCATAGTTGAAACGATTTTCTAATTAACGTTCCGTTCTTCTGATTATATTAATATGAAAATATGAATTTGCATAAATATCCGTAGTCTACATACTTAGAGCGTACGCGTAGTATGTATCTCGATAAGTTCGAGATTACAAAAAAAAAAAAAGTGAGAACATGTAGCCGAAGAACTCATCGTCTCGAAGGACGTAAGTAATGGAAGAAATTAAATTTTCGCTAACAGCGTATATATTAAAGAAAGGAACAAAAAAGAAAGCGAACGAAAAAGAGCAAGTTTCCGGCCGAAATAAAGCGTCATTGACGATAACCCAGGTAGCAAAATAAACAACCATCGACTGACATTTGCTTCGACGAGAGAAAGAAGCTAGGCAAAAACGGAAGATGCGCTTTAGAAACGCGTTTATACGGAATAGAAGCAACTGAAAGAATAGAAAGACGATCTGTGTGTAATCACGCGTGAAAATGTAACGCCTCTTCGTGTTGGAAGGGCTTCTGCTCTTTTTTTAGGTGTGCTTTGGCCGGCGAACGCGACTATTTGACATGTTTCAATTTTAACAAGTTCGTGTACGAAGCACGTTGAATGTGTTTAGCTTTTTGTATCTTGTCGATTGCGTTCGATTCGGTCGTTTATGCATTACGGTTCGAACGATACGGAACATTTCTCTTTTCTTTTTCTTTCCTTTCTTTTCTCGTTGTTGTTTTCTCTTCGATTCTCCTGTTTCCAAATCGCGCGTATGTGCGTGACACGAGACGACGTATCGACTCGGACGAAGTTTCGAGTAGCAAATTCAGCGAACCGTAAAGCAAACGCCGATTCTATTCTGGTATTAAACAGGAGAGACAGAGAATTCGTCGATATTTGACGAGATAGATACACATTGTAGATGAATTTATCGATCCGATTGATTTATCGAAGGTGGATGAATTCCATTTGAGACTGGTATGTTGCGTTTTGGCCAAAGAATGCCTCTGCTATACACGGCGCCTTCTGTTAATTATTAAGAGACGTAGCTTTTGAATTATCAGATTGCTAACTGGGATATTTTAGTCACGTAAGCTGGATAACTTGTAAAAATGCAATTTTTGTACTGTTATAACGTTAAATAGACGAAGGTATACTGACGTTGTAGCGTGAAAGAACATTTTTCAATAAAAAATTTTTCATACGCAAACAACTTAATGGTTGTGTTCTTCTCTTTATAGGTACAGTGGCGTTAAAGTGGCATTAATATTTCTATATATTTGTTTCTAATAATCAACTAGTCAACTGTGTTTTTTTTTTAGATATATTAGTACAACTACTGTAGTTGTTATAAATATATGTTTTCTTCGTCTAACGCACATAGTTTCTCTAAATAAAAAATAATAAGCTAAATAATTCTCAAAATTCTTGAGATGTCGAAGAATATTAATGTGTCTGTAAGGTCTGCAATTGTCATAATCTGTGGTAACGTATTAATATGTTAAACGAAATGTTAGTCGTTTGGTGTGATAATGCTGGATCGATCGTTTGTTGTATGTGTACAAGATGGCATCTTTTATGTTTTAGAATGTAACTCACGTGGTATCATCCGCAATAATAATTTTATCATTCGAGGTTTGTGTGGTGTACGAGATAATGTTTTATTAATTTGCAATTCACTAAATAGTTCCTTTTCTGTTATCGGATAGTCCTGGTATACATTTTATTTCATTCTATTAATTATAAGAATCTGTTATACTACGTGAGAAATGCAATTTCTAATTCCATCTGGTAGCGAGATAAAGTACCAGAATCTTTGTTTTTGATCAATTCAACGACTCAATCAACCAAAATTAAGATTGCGTCCGTTGAGAAAACTCTTGGAATTGTAGAGTGTAGAATGATCTCAAACGAGATTTGGCCCTCGATGGATTTATACCGTTAGATAAAGAAAAAGTGGCGTTATGATAGTTCTCTAAATGATATTTATTTCTGATACATTTCAAAGTTTTTGAACTGTCCGAAAGACAATCCTGCTGCGCTTTAGTCACGAAGGATACAGTAAACGTTAGTACATTACCGTCATATAATATCGATATTTAGACCTGCTTCGATATCGTCGAAGGCCGTACCTAAACAAGATTTCATAAACTTTTTAGCACGGGCATTATTAGGTACATACACGTAGGTAGACTTAATAATATAACAGCGCGTCGTTTTCAGATTGCATCTGTCTTTTTAAATTACCAAATATACGAGAAATTTATTTCACGCCTTTTATAATCGCCTCGCCTTAAAAGATTCGTTCTCTCTGTAAAACACTTTATATCGTCAAATCTGCTTTCAATATAATTACGTGTTAACGTGCGTTTTTCGTACCTAGTACAAGTAACTACGAAATAGTAATAAATACTTATAGCCTATTTAACGATTCTTTAAATGCATAAAGTATAATAAGTTCAGAGGACAAGGTGGTACGCTTGTGACTCCTGTTCATCTCATTGAGAATCTGCATTGATGTTATATTGACTTCTTTTGTTCTCGAAGACTGGACCAATAGAGTTTCGTTACACTAGAAGTTTTATGACTATTATAATGAAATAGTTAGTATCTTGTTCGTGCAGTTTGTAGTAGCGAATAATAGATGTTTGATTTATTAGACGTGAAAAATGAACAAATACTTGCTGCATATACCTTTGAATTATTTTACAAGTAGTCTTTGTTAGTTTGTGAACACATTTATTCTACAAGAATCTTTGTTTCAGAACATGTTATAGTATATATAATACATGATAAATGTGACACTTTATTTGGAAGTATAATTTCTTTTATATAGAAAATTATTTTTCCACTAAGTAATTTTCTGGTAGTTCTTTTAAAGATTATTTTGAGGGAAGATGAGAAACATATTGAAATGAAAAAAAGATCGTATCTTTCAGAGAGAAAGTACTTAAGTCCTGTCATCCATAACATATTTGAATATGTTAAAATCATATAATTTCTCCATACGTGTTGTTTATCTTAAATAAACATCTTGCTCTTAACATTAATCATGGTGTGTACAATCTACAGCAGAAGTTTTATGCAAGGAACAGGAGTCATTCACCGTTTTCTTTATCGACGCGTTTCATTAAATATATCCATATAATACATGCTTAAGACGTTACGTTATCATTTATCGTATGCTTAAATAGTATAAACATCGACTCTTTCATTCCTCGATCGCTCACTTGCTCTATAGACATATGTACATCGACCAACAGCATGATCCTCGGCATTTTGTCAGCATATATGAACAAATCGTGTCTCGTTTAGACGCGTCAAAAATTGCGAGGATGTTGTAAACACAGTTTAAAGGCAGCTTAATGCTAAACGGATTAGTAGACTGTAGATTCTTATGCATTTATGGTGGAAATTTAAAAGTGCAGAATTGCACAAGGATACATATAACAGTTAGTGGAACAGTTGTTCAAAACAATAGTTAATAAATATTAGAAATTGGAGTTGGATGAAAATTGTTTCTATGGAAACACCTAACTTACATGACTTATGTATTACTATTTCAGTATATCCACGTTGTCAGTGTTGAGATTTTAGAATGAGTTGAATATGCGTTTACAACTATACTTGAAGATTCATACAGATTTTATGTGGCGTCAGCTATTTATCAGAGATAAATATGGACTTTAATCGATGTAGGCATATTCCTTGTGTCAGTTTCAATGTAGCAGAACATTTAATCTCATTTACAGGAAGAAATACAGGATTCTTGTATCATAATGTTGAAAATATAACAGAAATGTACATCAATGTCTTGATTGGATTACATCAAGTGTTCAAATACTTATGACGCAGGGCATACGGTGCTTTTTAAATAACACTTGGCAGGTATGTAAAACAATTTTCTATTTTCTTACTGATATTGTAACAAGTTTCTATTTCTTCGATGGTATTCTCAAAAGATTGCATAAAAATCTGCAGTCTGTAGATTAGATTGTTTTCTTCACTTGTTTTACTTTTATTCTTTTATTACAGATTGGCATTACACAGCGACATGACTTAAGATCTGTTGTGTCTAACCCTGTTTCTCAAAAGATCTTTCGTTTGCTACTCTCATCGAGAGCGTATATTTTCTGAAAGTATCATCGATGCAAACGCAAGATAGTGACGAAGCTTTTCATTTTCGTTTAACAACTATCACTTTGAATTATCCGCTGAATAACTCCTAAGCGATGACCTATTGTTTATATTTGTTATAAATATTTATTGTTTATCATATACAGTGTTTGGAAAAAGATTAAGTGAAGAAGCGATGCCATTTTTTACAAGGTAAAGTTTCATGGGTTTATTGGAAACACGTTGATCGTCATTCTGTAATACTCTCACATAAACAGCGCATTGATTAAGTTTATTAATTAACGACGTATTTTTTTAGCTGCTTAACAGGAGCTGTTTATACATACATATAAAACTTTCGTCCGTTTTGATCAAGTAAAACAGTAAAACGTTGCGAGCCTACCATGTAATTATATATAGAAAATAATATCATTCCGAGTACTGTACTTTGTAGTTTATAATACCAAAGAATAACATGTTTGAAATAACTTAATTTCTTTTATTTTTCAGGTGAATTTCCAAATAATTTATTCATAATTTCAGATTAACCTTATTCTTTATCTTATCATTATTATTATTATTATATATATATATATATATATTTTGTTTTGATTAATTTCTAAATTCTTTCATAAAAGGATTTATATAAAAACTGATGGATTATACCGAGTTATTAATTTCACTTTTTTTTATATAAGCGAATATCAATCCAAAAAGTAATATTATAAACAATATAAATTCGAGAATACTTCGTAAAAAATAATGTCATTGCCATTCCGCTATTTAAAATTATATTTTGTTTTATTATATATTATTAACATCGTATATCTTCGATTCGTGAAATAATTGTAAATATGTACGGACGATCACAAATACATTCAAATTTGAATTTCAATACAAAGCAAAAGTCTCGCTATCGAAGGAGGAAGAGAAAAAAAGAAACATAAATAATATCCCGATTTCGACTAGGCAACGGACCACAGTCCCTTATCGATCGTTGATTTCACGCTTTACGGCTTCTTCGTGGTTCCTTTTCGTTTGAACCGATACGAGTACAGAATCCATAAATAGCACATCAGTCACATAACATACGTGTATAATTATATATATTTATTTGGTGACGTTTCCCGGTTAAACATTTTAAATACAAAAAGAGAGAGGGAGAGAGAGAGAGAAAGAGATAGAGAGAGAGAGAGAGAGAGAGAGAGAGAGAGAAACAAAATAAAAGACGAGCACACGGTTCAGTGGCGGAAGTAAAGTGGATAGTAAAAATTTACACTTGCTTAGAAAAAAAGAAAAAAAGAAAGAAAATTACAGTCCACTTTTACGCAAGATTGAGCTAGACAGCGTCAACGGTTCCCCTCTCGCTCGCGAGAAAATGTTTTCTTTGGTCTCGTATGTGTCTCAGAGTGTTTCAAGCAAAAATATGTAACAAATAAAAATTTCAATTCGCTTCTGGCGCATAAATCTCGATTAAATCGCAGCACATGCTTGGCTTCATTACTCTGTCCTTTCTTTTATGCTCCTCCTTTTCATCTCATTATAAATATATATATATATATATATACATATATATATATATATATATATATTTATACTATATATACTTAATGACTAATAAATCTCTAATTTCATAATTCTATTTCACAATATATATATATATATTGTGTGTATATATATATATATATATATTTACTAACAAATAATATGGCATTACAAAAATGTACATACGCTCGTAACCACGTGATTGTTAAGAGTCGAATACGCTAATAATACTATCGGTGTCATGCAATATTTTAATGTCACATCGTTTCTTTTCTTATGGAGATGAACGCCTCTCTTTTTTTTTTTCTTTTTCTTTTTGACATCCTAAGTTTATATTATATCTTCCATAACGATCGACGCCACTCGTTGCGTCTATTTCACGGAAATTTTTTCTATGATTTTCCTTTTCGTTTCACTCGCCTGAAACGCGACTGTATAATAGAGTATACTCAGCATTGGCAGTACAGAGTAGAAATGTGCGCCAGATATTTAAGACATGCAACAGGTAACAGATCAAACTCTGTATTTTCCCTTCTGCTTTTGTTCTCCTTATGACTGCACGCATACACACATGCACGCACGCACGCATACATTTATTTTTTTTCGTTTTTTACGTTTGGCTCTGTATAGACGAAATTGTGCACATTTACCGAACGTGACTGCAGACTGCGGACGTTTACTCGTTTTTGGGAAATTTAAGATTCCAGAGTGCGGATGAAGAGATTAGAGGGTGAGGGATGACGAGGAATGTTTATTTTCCGTGATTTCCCATTTTACAACATTTTCGTTTGTGACGGCTGCAGAAATATCAAAAATGTCCATAAAGATACAAAATTGTATAAACATCCGCAGTCTACTTTTTATTCCGATCGAATATACCTGCTGGTTTTACGTAATACAATCGATAATAATTAGCAGCAAGATAAACCGGTATCCTCTTAGTTCTAATCAGTTACGAACGAATTAATGTAATTTACGATGGACTTGCCGATCGCAGCGCTCTGCCTTGATTAACACGCACGACAGCGCCATTTTATTAGTGTACCGAATTCTTGTTTTATTTGTTAAATCCGATTCGTAATACTAATAATTTATACTGAAATATATCTTATATCACATTTTATGTTTGTTTACCGTCGGTCTTCAGAACCGCGAATCGATCCAGTCTTCGATTTCGACGTCTTGCTCGAAACGATTAATAGTCATGTTACGTTCTTGTTCTTCTGGCACTGAATGCATTTCATTTATCGAAATTCTTTGCATTTCTAGAATTGTAGAATCGTCAAAGACACGTTCCCTTCACGCTTGAATATCCGACTCGAGTAGGCACGTTTTGATACAGCACATGAAGTATCGAGGCTAATAGTCTGAACAATGTCAATTGGATTTCTAAAATCTTCTTTAACCCAATTGCAATGAGATTATTAAAAAAAATACAACTCTAATATACTTTTCTTCTTCTATACATACCAATTATAATTTTATTCCAATATATCATCCTTACCGTAATTACATTAAATACCTTAAGTTAACTATACTACTAGCATAAACTTTCACTATACCAACTTTCTTTATAGCTTCAATTTTGTTCAAGCTTTTGCTTTAATGCGTTTCACTTTATAAAATAATTCCTTTAAATAATTCTTTCACCGTTTTATACCTCTTTTGCGGCTTTACTACGCGCTTCTGTTGTTTTTAAATACAATATGATTAAAATTGAATGGACATTTGCAGATTACTTTTCCTGAGTCAATTTGCATAACAGCTAAATAGCGGGGGTTTCCCCCGGTGGCTTTGAAAAAGCCAATTGATTTTGTTCAGGCTATAGCAGCTACTCTCCGTGATGTTTCTAAATCACTCTCGAAGACAAACCCCATCTTTTTCAAATTGCTCTTCTCCTAATTAAACGATATTTCTTTCCATAAGAGTCATCAAACTCTACCCCTCCTCTCAGACGTAGACAAACATCTTTAAAAAAGTTTCTTCGTTTATTTTCCTGTTTTCTACATTATTCAAATGTCAAAATCTCCATTTCAGAAAATCAATATGTGTCTACGGAGTAATTTCAAGCTGATTGTCATCTACAAGCTAAGAAACTATTTCAAATTCCATGTAACCTCCAAAAACTGAACCAGAAACAGGTCCGACATGTCCAACCGAGTCAATTTATCCCAGTGGAACCAAGCGATACAGTGAATTAATTTGATTCGTTCCACATTAGTACATAGCGTGGCTATGATTTACCTTCTTAAGCACGTTTCTACGTTCGAGCGAACTACTATTTGTGACAAAAGTACACACTCGATCATGTATGTTTACTCAAGTGGAAACGTAGTTAGGATACCGAATCTTGTTCGGGTCGAACAACAGATCGAACGAGTTCATAGTATACATGGTGCTTCAGAAATGGGGAGAAAGATAGTAATACTATTGATAGCGTGATAATACTAAAAATCTGGATTATTTCTGCGCATGAAAAAATTCAGAATACATCTGGAATTTTTGCATGTCTCTGAAAACGTCGGTGCGATGCGTGTATTTTTGCAGACGGAAATCATTTATATTCCAGAAAGGAAGAGTTCCTAGATCTATATTCTAGTGATCTTTCATTCTTAGGGTTAGGTTATGATTAGGTTTATTCTTAAGGAGGTTAGAATACCGCACTAAAGCTACCTATTTCCGAAGCACTTTCTACACTCGCGTGTTTAGTTCGAACGATAATAACTTCGTGTACAAAAGTTCGAGGCCTACAAGTGTGTTGTAGAAACATAGAGAAGAAGTGCCAAAAGAATGGACATCGTGAAATCGACGATTTTTAAACAATCGCCAGACAAACGCCCGATCCTTCATCTTCAATCCTTTGGTTTTCTCAACCAAGACCTTCTGCCGAGACTAGCAACGCTCACGGAGCTGGCAGTACTGGAGACACTTGCCAACGAGTTCAGGCTTACCGAATGTTAATCTTGCAGCATGTGCACGAAACTGATCGGGAACATTCCCCTCCTTTCAGGCGCTCTTTCGAGGGCACCTTCCATCCAGTTGTCGTCGTCAGTTTGCTCATTCGTCACGATGATCACCTCGCCTTCGCGGAACGATAATTCGTCCTCGTTGTCCGCTTCGCAGTCGTACAAGGCTCGACAGCGTCGCAGACCGCTTAGGGTCGACGAAGTTGGCTAAAAGGAAGACCATGGTTAGCCATCGAATGGTTAACTGTATGGACGAAAGAGATATGGACATATGTCCATTCTTGTGCGTTTTTCTTTCTTTTTTAGTCTTCCATGGACGAAGCAAGCACTCTTTAACGAACTCACGAGCATCGAGATCGCGAGTCAAGATCGAGAACAATGCGAAGAATGCTTCCTTGGATCGCAAGGATAGTTAAATTGGAAATTCTAGAAGTGGAAGAAAGAGAAAGAGGATAGCTTTTTGACAAGACTCTATGCAGATCGTGCATAAGTAAGTAAACTTTTATTTTTTCTTTATTTCCTAATTGATTTGGTGGGTTTTTTTTTCGTTCTTTTTTACATTGTAGTGGATATCATGCATGGAGGAAACTAGATTTTGAAGAATCTGTGGTAGGAGACCAACACATTGCGTACAGTGTTCTGTTCCAATTATTTGCTTTTGTAAAAGGATTATTTTTATTTTTATAGATAGAGATAAAGATTAAGACGTTTGTTTCTGTAGATACTCGATAATTAAACAAAATTTTAGAATAAATGTTATTAATCTTCTTTCATTGATGCTCATATTTTCTGAAGTTAAATTAAATGCTAGTTACTGTTTACACAATGATAGTAATTATATTGGTAAATTGTATTAATAAATATTATTGGAGAATGCAAGAACATATCTTGTACCGGTAAGAAATACTTTTAATATTCATACAAGTGTAACTAATATCCTTAAAAGATGAAAAGCACTCATGATTCTAATAAGAAAAATATGATACCTTGTAATATTTTTTTTTGCAAATTAACGAGTATCTATACATCAATTGTTCATATCACATGAATACAGTCAGATTTTTTACAAATCAATATTCGCATACCTTATTCTTACAGTACTTAATCAGCTCAAGATTTTATAACAAATATTTTCATAAATAGTATACATTGTTAATATGGCGTTATTAAAATATGTGCTCCTTCATGTTTGCTTGTTTCATTTTAACGAACAATGTTAAATATGAATATTCATACCTACAAAAATAATTTTTTTATTGATACATTTAAATAAAACATATTAGCAGTGGATTAAACATTTTTTTAGATATGATTGTTCACAAATTGATTTAAATAAAAACTATTCGTTCAGAAATGGAGGAATAATGAGACTGAAATGATAACATAAAATGAACTATAAACTATATGAAGCCAACTTTTCACAATCTACTTTTACCGATCAATAATTCCTCTGCTCTTCTGTTTGCATTTTGACATGCAAAATGCTTTCATTGCAACATACTGAAGCTGCGTTACAATGGACTGAAACTATCTTAAATTTTCACAGGCACTTAGCAAGTACATTTCACGATTCCTTTGCAGGAATGTCTGTTGCAAAATATAAGCTGTATTATTCAGATTCAATTATCTGAAATGTAGCAAGCAAATAGCATTTAATAAAACAAAATAGAAAAGCAGCACATTTCTTAGGTGTACGCAATGTGTTGTGATATGTCTGTCTGTAAATTTATAAAGATAATACAGCTCTTTTATAATAAATTTGTAACATAATTTAAGTACTATCTAATTATATAACTAATGTACCTCTTAATTATGTTTCTTTGCTAGAAATAATTATTATACAAATTTCTAATTACATAATGTAAATAAAAAATAATTACATAATATTTATATTCTTTCGAATATGAAATATGATATTCTTAAATCTAATCTCTCTATAGTTTGCTTATTGCTGTTTATCAAATGCTCTATTTTTAGTGAACTAGAATTTCCAATAATACACATCAATTTCATACCTGTTAGAAATAATTTACAATTGTCAAATTTAAGCTATTAATAAGATTGTTAGTAACAAAGTGGTAGATGATTATGGCATGGCTTCTGTACTATGTAAGATAGTAGCCATTAACCTTGCCACTAATTTCATCCACTTTGCAAGCTTACGAGGGTAATATCACGTTAGAATAACTTAACGGGTTCAGTGCGTTCAAGTGCTATTATCAAACACAAATTCGGGACAATTTCATGCGCAAATTAAGTTCTAAAGCACACACAGTCCCAGGAGTTTCGATTAACGTAAATGTTACATTCACAATTAGGATCGGGAAAGCATGGTCGTTTGCTGGCAGAATCATGTTAACGACCAGGTGTCCTAATCGTACAAAACATTTCATTGCCAGAAATGATTAGACTCGTAAATATAGCAGAAGTCCAGGAAATGAAATAATTCGATCGGAAATCGAACAGAACTGTCAAAACTATGTAAGTACGATCACGATACAAAATTATGATGAATTAAATCGAACAAAACTTAGTGAGATCATGTTTTTAGAAGAGATAATACCAAAAGCATTGACATGAAAGAACGATGGTTACGGATAGCACGACTGATCATGCAAAGTGTTACTACACTTGAAAGGAACATCCAATAATGCTTTCGCGTTACCATTTTTATTATTTTAATTAAAGTCGCTTTTCCTGAAAAGCTTGTTTGAATTGTATCATTTTTGAAATACATATGCAATATTACCAAGGTACATAATATATATAAGTACGTAAATATATCTGAGTAAATAATAATAATAAACTAATAAACGAGATATACAAAGAAATAAATGATAATGATAGCAAATGACATATTTGCTAACGTTTCATTTCTATAATTGAGCTATTTTGGCTGTCCTGACGTTTTAATTTTTGCGTTAGTCTTTGTAAATTAGAGTATTGCATACGATTGATAATAAACATTTCAAGTGTAGCAGGTAGTAATGTGGGATGGCTGATGTTTACCAGATTCAGATTTGGGAGCAAAGATGAAGGCTCCTCAGCGTAGCTCTCTAGCCTGGCCCGGTCCCTTCGCTGTACCAACAATGGTTAATAACAAACCATAAAGCACTGTCTTTGAGATACATGCAGTGTCTAATCACCAATTTGATATTTTGAAAAGAAAAGGGGCATGTGTCTCGATTTTTTCTGTGGAAAATATCTTGTTTGCCTTTTCAATCTTCAAATAACACTTTGATAAGAAAGATTTACTTGTTATGCTAATTGTCGTTTGTTAACTTCCCTTGTAAGGATAGACATTTGTTAATAAAATTTTCAGTTCTTTAATATTTCTTGATTCATTAATGATATACTACAATTTTATATGGCGTCGTTAAATATAGCAAAATTTCTTCATAAGATTAGTATTTATTATATTAGACTTTGAAATATTTTACTCTGGTTATTTTTTGAAATGACATGAATTAATGATTTGTGATTTATGCAAACATAGGAACAAATGTGAATCACTTCGCAAAGGTTCAACATTGGTGAGGTGTAATGAGCATTTGATTCGTGAATGAGAGATAGACATAATATGTATATAAATGAGAATATTAAATCACGGGTGTACATGTGTAGTTAGTATGATATGCAGAGTACCAAAAGTTCTTAAAAACAAGAATCGAGGAGAAGCTATCTGGTTAAGTACTACATGGGTCAGTGGTAGGAATAACATTGTGTTAATATCTCCATAGTTAGCGTGATACGTTAATATTAACATGAACGATTTTCACGTATAAACGGATGTATGTACATACACATGGCTTTAAAAGGATATATTAGATATCTACCAGCATCGATGTCTGATATGCGCCAAATAAAATACAAATAAAACATTATTCGCCTTAGCGTGAAATAATATTTCAATGGACTCGCAATACATAGTAAAAAATAATAAAAAAAAAAAGATAAGTTATTCCTCGATTTCCTTAATTCAATATTTTTATAGTTCCTTTTTTTAAAAAAAGATACCCGTCATCCTATTTTCCTATTTTCTCTATTTTCGTACATACAGTCACTCGCAAAAGTATCCGATCACAGATCATAGAATATTCTTATGAATATGCTTTCAATATATATCTTATATATCTTATATATCTTTTCAATATATATCTTATAACTTCTTATATATAGATTTCCCTATCTGTTTCAAATTGTACCAATATAATCGCGACAATCGTGTCCCGTTATAGAGATTTCAAAATCTTTTGTATACATAAAACATTTCTAGAAATGTTCGAATACTTCCGTGAGTCACTTTAAATCTTTATAAAGCTAAATCTAAGATGTGAACTTACCTTACGTGGAGGCGGAATGGGATTACCCAAACCATGATCCGAACACATAGAGCTTAATGATTCACTGCTACGTCCGTTGCTCAATCTGGACGAATTGATACCGGATGGGGCTGGAGGTGGAGGATTCCTCGGCCTCTGGAGCGTCGAGCTGTTTACTTTGTCCGTACCTAACGATAACAGAGAAAACCGAATAAACTTGGGGAACAGATTGGATGGGAAGGTTCCAAATTTACCCGAACTAGACGGCAGTTCGTAGAGGAGTTTGCGTGAATTTTCAAACGCACCGTGTCCCGTTGAAGAATCTCCACTGGGCGATCTTTTATGATGCTGACTGTTTAATGTATTTAACGCATGTGGTAGAGTATGTAAAGAATGCCCAGCTAAGATCGGTTCGCTCGTTGTACGGCTATGCGTTGACGCTGCTAAAGACGCGGACGAAGGTAGAGTACCGTAATGAGAGGAAGGTATACCACCTGTACTTCCGGCCGGTGGTGGTGGCGGCGCTACACGCTTCTTCAGTGATCCATGAATATTGACCGAAATATCTGGAGCCATGGGAGCAGGTACTGAAAAAGCAATAAGATTCTAATCCACAATTTGCAGGTGAAAGTGTAATATACAATAGCTACTATGAAATAGATTAAAATAGAAGAGAACGGTGCGAAACCACGGCAAATATCACACGATCGATTCCGTTTGGCTCGACTCTTTGAACTAACAATATCTGCACCGTATTCAATGCTAATTCAATATTAATTTAATACGATATCGTACCAACAACAGGTTTCCTCGATTGAGGTGGTGGTGGTGGAGGCATTTGTTGTCTATTTGTCGAGGAACTTGGAGAAGAACCGCTTTGCAGGCTATCGCAAGTGCTACTTCGACTACGTAAAGTCACTGGTGAATCTCCCGATCCGGTACCACCACCACTACCACCACCGCCTACATAAGAAGGCGGCCTACTGCGAGATTTCTTTTCAGGTGTTAAACAGCCATTCTAAAACAAACGCGCACGAATTGTTAAAACAAATGATTTCAATAACTTCTAGCCTTATTATTCTTTAAACATACCCTGTCTTCTATTATCGTTTCATCGTCAGAAAAATCGGTAGATCCTTCGTCGTGTGAAAGATTCCAATCGATGTTAACATTATCAAACAATGTTTTCTGTCTTTGTAGAGCATGACTCAACTGAGGACAATGAAACAGTTAACTGTTATTGTGTGTACATACGTACGATATTGTTATACAAATTAGATGGCAATTGTTTGATGCGTTACCAGTTCTTTACATGTGTGATGTCCCATTTCCTGAGCAATGTCAAGCGGCGTTTTATCCTGTTTATTTCGGTGTGTTGGATCAGCGCCTGCCCGTAGTAACAGCTTCATCGCTTCTGCTCTGTCGTGTCGTGCACAAAGATGTAACGCTGTTTCTCCGTCGATCGTAGTCCTATCTATACCACCCGTCGACATATTCTGCACTAGGAAATCTATAATGTGTAAACTGTTTCCCATTTCGCGTAGAATCGCTAAATGTAAAGCCGTCTCGCCCAGATCCTACAGGAAAACAACGTACAATATAAGTTATAATTTTTGGAATTATTAACATTGATTGGAACAAGTTGTTTTTATGAGAGATTTTTGAATGACAGATTTATTCATTCTAATGCAATTGTATTGTCGTATTCGAGGTTTGATAAATTTTTAATACGAGCTCATTTTTTTATATAAATAAATATAAATAAATTCCGTTCTATTTTTTTTCCATGTTTTCGCGCAAAATGTTTTTACTCGAGGTAATTAGCGTTCTATATCGCATCTTTTATTTTTCACTTTCAATTCGATTAAGAAGATCGTACCGAGGTAGGCAAGGGTGCCGCTAAATCTACGTTTTCAGCATAGACTTGCAGAAGTTGTTGCAGGTCGCGATTATTAACGGCGTGTTCCAAATCAGAAAGGAGATCTCGTTCATCTGCACAAGTGTTCATCACGTATCTCTTATCCACGTACTTGGCTCTTATAAATTCGTATCTTTCTTCCCTAAATCACACGAATGAAACACGTTTAATCACATAGAAACTATATGAAAATTCATACTGATATAAATTCAAATAAATCTGGCTCGCACATACATCGTTGAAGTTGGCGTTGGCTTGTGATTATGATGCAATGTAGCTTCCATCACTTCGTTAAACGCCTGATTGGTCATGTGCCGTGCAAGAAGTAATTGAGCAGTGCCAACGTTGTCTAACGTTAAGGACTGTATTCTGGATATGTGCACTCCTAAGTCCCGGTGAATTCCGCTACATTCTATGCACACGATTATGCCAAAATTTGTAGAGAGCCACGTAGCATCTATCGAACAGAGAAGGACCCCGTTAGTCTTATATTTTTACAGATCATCGTTGAATCATCTTCATGGATACTATATACAAAATTTACCATTTTGCGATGAACAGTCGCAGCATTGATCGTTTCCAGGTAACCTCATGACACATCGTATTACAGCCTGTTGAAGTTCGACTAAACTTGGATTTCCTGTGCCAGCCTCTGCTTTGCCACTGGCGTCGAATGCTCGAAGCAGGGCACGCTCCTTGCAGTTTACCAAAACGGACATCCACGCTCTCTGGTCTGCTTCGTCTTCCGCTTGAAAGTGATACGTCCTGTTGTCTGCAACGAACGAACATCAGGTACAGATATATCAATCAAGTATAAGTACAAATATATCTCGTTATATTTTGAATTATTTGTGTAACGATATCCGAACACGAGGTGTCCAAACGCTTATGGATATTAGATATGTATTTAGGATCGTTGAAAATCTCGCCTTGAAACCTCATCGTCGATAGCTTAACAGTTCAACTTACAACTAATGAGATCGAAACCCCGTTTGTCATCCGGTACTAGCTTGATTTGACAGGTTAATAAATTCACTCTCGTCGGTGGTTTATTCTCGTCCGCGTGACAGATATCTAGATAGCCTTCGGCTTGAACCGCGCAGCGTCTCTTTTGCCAAACTCTCCTCATTTTTCCTTCGCTTTTCTTCAGAAGATGCCCGGACCTGGTAACGCCGTGTTGCTTATCTCCTTGCAGCTGGTGAAGCGAATATCCTGCATTCGCGTTTACGTTCAACTGGAAATCGCATAATGATATATGACAATTGTCGATACGATACATTAAACATTTATATAAAATTGCTATCCCAATGAACCAACAGGATACGCGAATATCCTATGGAAATTGGCTAATTTACCTCTTTGTCGCAACCTGAGCTTCTAAGGAGATTCCTCAGTTCTGTTAGTCGCCTTCTCTCCTCGTCTTGCGTCTGCCTGATCTTTTGCAATTTCACACTCAAGTCTGCCACGTACGAACCAAAATGTTCGATGGTTTTTAGGCCGTCTTGAAAGTAACTGTAGAACACAGAAACGATGTAAAACGTAAAAGGCTATCCGATTTTCTTTTCTGGTTGATTTTCAACGATGTTAAAAGACAGAAAGAAGAGTGTTTAAAGAACGTTTCAAAAGAGACGTTCCTATAACATGGAATAAAATTTAGATAATTCAGCTTCTAACAGAGAATGAAAGGTATCGTTGAGAATCGTGTTACTGGAGAAATTTGTTGTAATTCTTGAAAAATCATATTACGTACAGCGTTGTTAAAGAAAATATCGTACTTACTTGGTTTGTGCATGGTAATATTCGACTAGATGCTGAAGCAGCTCAATTCCTTTCTTCGTTTTGATCTCGTTCACTTTTATAAGATACTGCGAAACAGAAACGCACAACGTATATAAGAATATCATAATTTACATCTGCATCTACATAGGATGGATCATTTACATATTAATTTTCAGGATCTTACGTTACCACTTGCCTCGCCGATATCTCGAGATCGATAAATAGAAATTACTTTGCTTGTTCCTTAATTACCTACGTGTTACGATTACTTTTATCTTCCTTCCTTATCTGAGAATAATTCATTGGAAATTGACGCGAAAGAATTAATCGAAGATCGTTCGGTGGAATAAACTATAATTTACGCAAGGACGTGGCGCCTACCAGCTAAAAATAATTTCGCGTTCTGTCTTTGTTTTCCCAGTAATTAATCTGTAGTTTGCCCTTGCATGCATAATCAGCGCAACATGCGAACAACAAGCGGCAATCTACTTGGAAATTTCCAGGTTTCCATCAATCTGCGATCGTGACTCATCGAATTAATTTTTGTTCGTCCGCGAAACCTCGTTTGTAAGAACGTCCCCGGTTTAAAAGCCCGAGGACAGCAAACTAATTCGATTCGACAAGCTTGAAATTCGAAACTCTAACGGGGGGGCAAAGATCGAACACGTATCATACGAGATTTCGCGATAGAAGATTATTCGTTCGAACGTGCAAAGCGCAAAATTCGAAATCGAAGCTTTGGCATCAAAATTTTGTCACGCGCTCCTGATGTCTAAAGTTTCGTTTTCTCTTTTTTTCTTTTTTTTTTTTTTTTATTCCAAAGCGATTACAAAAGAACGCGTTTCCCTCGTTGAGTCGGTTTGCTCCGCAGGCCAGAAAAATCAGAGCGATCGTCGCGTAATAATCATACAACGTGAACGTATTATAGTCGGCTGTTGCAGATCTGTTTCGGCGGCCTCACCTCGCACATTTGCAATTGAAACAATCTTCTCTCCTTCTCCATCTCATCGGCGATCTCGGCCGGCGTCACTTCCGTTCGAATGAGGCCAGCCTCTTTCGCGTGCTGCTTCTTTTCCTTCTCGATTTTCGCGTATTTAGCCTCGTAATCTTTCCACGCCTTTTCGAACGGCCTTTTCAAGTCGCCTTTCACGCCTCGCAGATCACCCTTCAGCACCGAGTCCAGGGGAAACATCACGATGTTGTTGATGTTCTGCATCTGTTCAACGAGGTTTCAGATTAACAGCTTGTTATCCTTGTTATTTATTTCATTTAAGGTAGAGTCAGGCATTTCCCGTTCTCGACGCTGGCGATTCATCGCAAGACACGCGACAAGATTATATATAAAAAGAAAAAAAAAAAAAGGAGGAGGCGAAGTGTAAAATACAAGAAGGCTAGAGTTACAAACTTAGTATTAATATAATTATAATATAATTATGTATTTATTATATTAATATAATTATGTATTAATTATGTTAATATAATTGTATAAAATTAATTAATAAAATGTATTAGTATAATTTAATTCTATTAATGGTATTATATTAATATTGTATTAATATTAATATATTGTATTATTATAGAATACATAATTATATTAATTTAATATTTGTATATCGTATATTACGTAATATGTAATAATAATAGAAATAACGATGCAATGATAATACAGTCAATTATGTATTAATTATATAGCAAGTTGAATAAATAAATAAACGAACCTAACCTTCAATCGATATGACAAGGCGCCATTGTAATCGGCGATACAAATTAACGTCAATTTTGAGAAAATAAAAAAATCCCGCGATACCCTTTTTATGGTCTAGTCGCATTATGGCGACTGAATCTCGTTTGGAAGACGAAATTTAACCTCGCATTGGTAAACGCATTACCACACTCGAGAAGATGATGTACACAGATGGAATACAGCCGCAGTGATTGCACTTATTTGGCTCAATTTTAGTCACGGGATGAGAGCGTGTTCGGCTTAGCGCGACGAATTCCAAGTCTGGTGAGAATAACTTGCTCTTTCCTCTATGGAAAACAGCCACTCTAGTCTTCCATCGAATACTTAATCGAACATGGTTTTCGAGAAGAACCGAAGAACCTCCAACGCGTAGTTTCCATCGGTCTAACCGGAGGTTGAGAATTTTTCCAGAGTTTCGTTGCCGATTGTGTGATTCTGATTTTGGAAACGACGAATGGAAGAAGAACGCGAGCAGCGTATTGGCAGGCAGATCAGCGAGACGCTTGGAAATTTGATTTCGTCGGATGAAAATCGAGGTGGTAGGAAATTTCAGCAACTGGCAAGAGAACTGACTTTTACGGCTAAATATCTTGAAGATACTCGAAGAATTCAGAAAACCCAGCGTGTAATTCGAACGCGTATCTGATACTTAGACGTCGAGGCGAATAAAACCGAGAATTTCGGCTTCGGTGAAAAATTCGATAAAAGCAAGTTACATCGAACCTGTAGACGCGATTGCGACGTAACACAGCCAATTAAAAACGGAACGCATTTGCGATAGAAAACTCGAATGGTAGAACCGTATTCTCCGTTGATGGAAATTGTAACGTATCGAGATATTGGAATATATTTACTTTAATATTAAGTAGTCCGAAAAGTGTCTTTCTTTTACAGACACGTCTTTCACAACGATGCGTCTTTATACAAACGTGAAACCTAATCTGTCAAATGTTGTAATCTTTATCTTGATAGAAGGAAATGAATCACACGTAATTCGATAAAGTAATATAAAACGAAAAATGTTGTGCACCCGTTATTTCCTTATAAAACGAAAGAAACTTTTCGAACGATCTAAAATAATAAGATATTCATCGTTAAGCCAGCGTCGAACGTAAACGTATGGTTGGTCGGATCGAAGGATCGTTATGGAACCGCGTGTGAAGATATTGGCACAAACCAGAGTTTTCATGAGGGCGCTCAATTCCTTCGTGACGACGGCGAACTTTAAGAAAGCAGCGCCGATATCCGGTTCCTGTTCTTTCAAGGCTGCATCCCCGAGCCTTTCCAGTGCCCTTCCAAGGTACACCTCGTTATCGACGTGAGCTGTAACACAAAAACCACGCAAACATCGCTATTTATCTCCGATTAATTTTCTGTGTAATTTTTCACACGATAGAAACCTCTGCTACGTAAAGTCGGATTATCGAAACATTCCACCCTTTGCTCGCTCGTTAACCGCGTCGTTCTTTCTCGGTTGCTTTATTACTCCAACTTTTTTTATTATGTCAACACTTTACCGACCGCTAGCGGTTCAACGGCATACGCACGTCCGAGCGGCAGCACAGGCGCAGATTCTCCCTGGCGCTGCCTCTGTTTCGGTTTACGCTCTCCAATATCATTCGTTCTCGTTCATCGCGAACGGTAAGTTTTTCAAATTGGTATAAAACTGTGAGAGCTTACAAAGCAACGCAACTGACGCGACCGAGCAAGGTACCTCAGTACTAAATAACAAATTACTGCTCAAATAACGAGAAAGATTGTCGACGACAAAAAGTCGATTAGTAGGCTATCGGTCGGTAAGCGTCGGCGACAGAGAACCAATTAATAGACTATCAGTCGGTAAAGTGTTAATACAACGTTAATAAGAAAGTTGATCTACCGTTAACTACTCGGACGTTGATTTTGCTGTGTGAGATTTTTACTCGCTGAAATCCAACGTTTGGGGAACTTATCTCTTCGATTTCTCCGGATAAGGTTTTCAACGAGGATCGTTGCGCGTATCGTTTTCAGCGGTTTCGATTCGAGGATCTTAGACGAGTTCGGTGTATCGTATATTTATTATTTTATTTATTTATTCTCAGTCCACACCTTTCGGCTTTGGACGACTTTCGGCTTATAATGCCCTCGCATTACACATATCTCTCTTACTCTAGCACTTCTATTGGTGTATCGTATATATTTTCATATTTTCATCGCAACGTTGCTATAGCCGCGTAAACAGCCGCGGTATAATTACGGCAGGCGCAACGATCGGTTTTCCGGCTTAATTGTGCAACGAAACGCACGAAACGCACGAGACTAACAACACCGGGGAAAAAAAGAAAAAGAAAGATAGAAAAGGAAAAGGAGAAAAGAGGTTGGGACTTGTTACTCTAACGCGAATCTGTCACGAAACGTACACGTTCGTTATCTGTAAACTGCATCTTCTTCTTGCGCGTTAATACGCGATTCTAATCTGCGACTATCCAAATTTCGTAACCCGTGTTCCTCTTTCTTCCTGCGACCTACGTCATTAGCATAATTCTCGAGATCTGGACGATTTCTTCGCAGCTGTGCAATTAATCGCTGAGATCGAATTAATTAAGGAGGCGTGCACGAGAGTATACATTATGCAAATTTTATCTAAAGCTCAGGCAAGTTTTTTTTTAAGCGAGAAGTTTCGCTCGAATTTTTTTCCACGAACAACGAGATCGCGCGATCTATCGAATATAATTGTGCAATTAGATTTGTCAAGGAACAGCGATCACTGATTGCCAGGCGTATCCCTGTATTCGAGTATTAATTAAAACGTCTTCGTCGCTGCGTTGAAGGTAATTTCGCCAACCAGGTCGGGTTATAGTTTCGAGTGAAATTAAATTAAAAAGAAAAGAAAAAAAATAAAAAGAAAAAGAAGAGAAAAAATCGAAGTGGAGAATTTGAAGCACGAATACTTTTGTCTGCTTCTAAAATTTCCCAGCAATTTTTCTCTCCGTGGTTCTCTAGCTCTCTTATTAAAATTCTATTAATTTCAACGAACTAAGCTTCGACGTGAATTTCATTCGACAACGATATTCTCGGCGACAGGATATTAAATTCGTGACAGTGTTCATTATCGTTGTACGTTTCTGAATGTACGATATTCGTGTTAATAAGTTTATAATTACGTTTGGTAGCCAGCTGGTATATCAAACGCAGATTGTTCGCCTCAGTTACGGAATACGTTGAAATCACGAGATCCTCGGCAAAGAGAATACGTATTTGTATGTAATTATACTGTTTCCGAGTTGCGTCAAGCTGTATCGTATTTAACGTGACAAATGCAAGCCTGCGCTTGTTCTATGTCCATTTCCATATCTCCTTTCGTTTCAACGCCACAGCTATCGATTTATAACGCGTTTCTAAACGAACCGTAGACGTAAATAATTAATAACTATATCCACGTATTTTATACATTTACGTATACGTTTTACCTCGTTCGTTTCTTCGCGTCACTCACGCGCGTTAATTGGTCTACGTTATGCAAAAATCTACCAACCTTCGACGAGCTGAATCTCAGCGAATTTCATTCGAGGATTTTCATTCGAGAAAAAAAGGTAACTTCGTTATCGTTATCCACAGGCTGGTTGGTAACTGGTGATACAAGCGGAAGGGGGGTGATTCTACGCGAAAAAAGAAGTCGAAAATATGGAATACAAATTTTTCGTTTGACGCTTTGTTTTCGAGAAAATCGACTTTGAATTTTCGTTCGGTACGCGTGAGGTACGTTATAGGTCTCGATGGAAGAATTTAAAAAATTAAAAAAAAAATTTTTATTCTATATTTTCGACTTCTTTTTTTGCTTGTACGATCAGTTACCAACCACCCTGTATATTAGCGATAACAAGCAAATCGGAACGTTTAAGCCGAATAAATAAACAAATAAAACATTTATCGCAAGAGTCTGTTGAATTTCCAAATTTCCTAACAATCGTGACACTCACCGTTTCCAGAGTTGTGGATGGCTTTGATCGCCTTCTTCAGCTTCGTTAGACCATCTCTGTCGAAGTCCAGCGTCTGCAACAATTACGTAAAAAATTAGGTAAACTCCGTTCGACTCGTAATTCCTCTTATTGCGCGATGTGGATCGTACGATCGAGTGAAAGGAGACACGCGCTTCTCCTTTATAATCATCGAACAATGGAAACAGGGTTATGCGCTGTTTGTTTCCATTGTGTCGACGTGTTACATTAAAAGTCAATTAATTGAGACCGACACCGTTGACCTTGAATCTTTTAAACCGCTCAAGTACGACGACGTAACACTAAGTGATTTATGTTCGACTGGCGGCAAACGCAACAGGAGCGCCGAATTCGATTTCAATTTGGATGGTGGATTTAGCGCCTGTGTTTTCTATTTAGAGACGCGCGGCAAGAGAGAATTTTTGCTACAACTGTAGCGGAATGCATTTAAACGAATTTGTGTCATCGATCACTGGCAAAAAAAAGATTGGATATCGTCGGATGATATTTCGTTCGTTAGTATCTACTTTATCTTAATTATACTCGTATACACGATAACGTAGATCGCATGTAGATAACGGCATTACCGATAATTAGTACACGTTCATCGACAACGTGTAAGACAATTAATCGTACAATTTTTCGCTATCGATAATACTTGTCGGCGACAAAAATAAAAATCGAACCGACGACAATGATTATTGACGTAGTCGAAGAAAATCTTAATCATTCACGATGATGGTTATTACTCGGAACAATTAAATATTAGTACTTTTTTAATCGTTTCATTTTTATTTACTCGTGTATCCGGTTTATCGACGAGTAGCTTCGATTTAAATAAAAAATTCTGTTTCAGTCGATGGATCTCGTGCGAGAAACGTTTAAAAGAACCGTTATTTTGGATGTCTGATTTTAACTAACGCTCATTCGCACGTTATAAACGCACGATTTCCAAGCGAACAGAATCTCGGCCGAATTAATCTTCGTTACTCTCGAATAAAATTCATCTTTACGTTTTCGAAAATATTATCTGCAAATGTGATCTCTATGCTTATTACCATTGTACCATTGAGAACGAATAACGGCACGAGCTATTTCTTTTTTTTTTTTTACTGCAGTCAACCGATACCAAATTATCCGACGTCTTATCGTTATTGACTTCTGTTTCAGTTTCCGGCCCGTAATTTCCAGTATTGCGAATCGCTCGTTTTATTTCGGTCGAACGCTGCGATGACCTGTGCGAACGATGGCTCGAAAACGCTTCATCGTCAAGTGCTCTCCATTGTACGAAATACCCAATTTTCTCGCGATTTCTCTTAATGAAATACCCTCTTTGTACACTGTAATAATGGCATAGCCGAGCTCCTTATGCCAATCCTCTTGGCTCTGTGCTACTTCGATTTCGACGTGCTGCAACAATATTTTTCAACGAGTTTCCTTGTCCGTCTCGAAAACGAAAAAGTTCTATTTTATTTTCTTACTTTCCCACAAGGAATCACGCCGTGGCCGCTTCTACGTGTAATTCTGTATACACGTGTACGACTAAACCGCTAATACTTGTTGCACCATATGTTTATATATATATATATACACATATTATATACAGATATAAGGAGGGAAAAGTGAAGACTACGCTAACGGTAAAGGCAAACGAAGCAAAGAAATCATAAAGATAGAAAGGATAGTAAAGAGAAAGAATATTTATCGTGTACGTTGAAACGTATATCATAAAATATGAATTTCCTCTGCAATACGAAGAACAGCGAAATTCAATATTTACAATCCGGTTCAGCACGAGATTCCATGGGAAAGGTAGCTGTTGCGTATTATACCGACGTTTTTCATCTGTACATCTCGTGCTCTGATACAAACGTAGCCAGATGTATTTTTCATGTATCAAACGTTTTTATCAAAACTCTGAATTATTTCGGCCGCCTTTTCCGCCTCCTTGTACGATACGTACAAAGACGGAGTGGACTCGAGCGATCAGAAATTCCATGCGAACACCGTCGCCGACCGAGACTGCGCAGCCCACAGCGCCAAGTAACTTGCAAAATACACACGGAGCTACGTGCGCGAGTCTGATTTCACGTACAGTAACACGGAGGATGGGAATAAAAATTCGCCCGGCAGGCAACAAACAGTTCCGCCGGTTCGATCAGGAAATTGCACGGGGATCCTCTGGCGGTGCTTGTAAGCAGCTGGCGAGGATATTGCCGAGGTCGAGTACGCAGCATCGAGGACGCCGCGAAAGGCCGACGCGCCGCCAGGAGCAAAAGCAACGACGACGAGAAAAAGGAATTGCCGTGCGCGCGGAGCCAGGCAACGATACATTTTATCGGCTCACGCTCCGTCGAGCAGAAGATTCGCCTATCTTCGTTCCACGCGCTTCTTATCGAGCGATTTTTACGTTTCGCGCCGCGCTTTCACCATTTTCAATAAACCCGAACGCGAACAAGCAGAACCGTGGAAAGGGCAGAGAAAGATAGTCGGCGATGCAACGAAGCAAGTTGCGAATACAGCGGCGCTCGCCACTCTTCCAACACGGAAAACTCAAATACGTACGTGTACGCGTACTAGCAATTTAGCTTTGGCGAACGAAGGTCGGTGAATTCGATACGAATCCTACTTCGTTTTTCATTTTTTGCCCGTCGATGCTGCAGCATTCAAAGAACGCGGCTCTAAACTCGAATCCGACACTGGTCCCGATCCGGTGGTAATTACAGATTTTCATCGCGTTGTTTAACCGTTTGTTCGAGTGCCAAGCAGCGCGATCGCGGTGTTTAGATTTTGTGTCGAAAAGTCGCAGTACATTTGAACGCTACACGAACGACTGCCGGTATTTTGTATTTCATTGTTATCTTTTCAATAATTTTTAGTGAAAACTTGAAATATAAACTAATAGTACGCATATATAATAATATAGATGTATTTTATAAAATAACAAACATGGCGAGCGCTATTGCGTCGGTTGTTTCTCTTTGCAATGGATTAAGACAAGCGCTATCGTGCTGCGATTTTTCAACCCTGTTTTCTCAAAGACCCCTGGGACTCAAACGGTTAAAACAGATTGCACCTACTTTATCGTCCGATCGTGGCGATCGTCGTCGATCGCGAAACTTTTTTCACGCTTATCGTTCGCTTTTCTCGCCTGTAATTTGCCTGCGAGATCTGCCTGGACGCTTTCTCGCGCGGTTTCGCGTCTCTTTCGAATCCATGTTCTTCCTTGTCGTCGAAACGATCACGATTAAGCGGTAACCGCACTCCGCGCATCGCTTCGGACAAAACTCGCCGAGAACGCATCGATTTCTACGGCTGAATCGATCATCACAAACCACGTTTTCGAAAGTATAGCGGACGAGAGCTCCTCCTGCGTGCGTATTTCTTATATTCACGGGTTTGAAAAGTGCTATGGCGCGGTTGTCGAACTTACCATCCGATGATATTATTATTCTTCAAACTTTCGACACGTCGTCGATAAAAGTCATCGGATTTCGGGCCACGATCGGTATCTCAGATAACGAAAAAGGCGACAAGGTTGCCGAACAGACAGATAGACAGCCACGTGCTATAGCATTTTAGATAAATGCTAATAAAAAAAATGTTCTTCGTTCGTCGAGAGACGTTGCTAGGTGGAAAGCAGGTTAAGCAGGTGGAAAAATGACAATTTTTCGGCATCCACCTTTACGCGCGCGTTTAATACGAGCGATGATAAAATACTTTTTCGTTCCAATTTCGCGAATTTTACTTCGTCCGCCATATTCGAGTCGAGGTATCATCTAAAGGTACGTGCTCGAATTGCTGCGATCTTACGATTGGACAAGCAACATTTCTGCATGCGATCCTAATTCGACGCTGAAAGAAGCATATACACGGCTTTATATTAGACTGGCTCTTGTATACTCTCGATGAAAATTTTATTCCACGTTTCTTTCGCTAGCAATCATCTTCCTAGGATGGTTCCGGTTGGTAAAAGAAGAATCTGTGCAAAGTACGAATAAGGAGCCCCAAACGCTAAACTCTACTTACGTAAATACACAAAAAACTGGATCACGTTCCAAGTTATCGACTATATCGAAAAACATGTCGAATTATGTGAAAAAGATCGAAGATTTAGACAGAGAGCATCTTTTATATTCCGTTACTTTTTTTTTCTACGCACGGAAAAAAGAATGAAAGAAATGGGGCAGAAAGCCTGCAACAAACGGTAAAATTACTTTTCTAATCTTAAAAATTGAAGCGTTTCCTAATAAAATTCTTCTTTCTTGATCAATAGAGGCTAAAAATAACGCGTAATTTTGATTCCCATCCCCGAAGAATCATCCTGTTTAAAGAACATTGTTCGTTGTACAAAAGAATTGTGTTCGTTAGTGGACTTTTTCCCTTATCCAATCGAGCTGGTATTTTTTCACAGCTCGTTCTCTCATTAATTGACCCTGAAACCCAAAACCTTGGAAAGAATTTTCATCGAGAATAAATAAGAGGCGTTCTAGTGTATACATATCGAACTCGATTCCGTCGCTACGGTAGAGGCGCGCGCTCGTGCAATCCTTATCGATCCCGATGATACCGGCGTACGAGAGAAGCTTCGAATGAAAAAAAAAAAAAAAGAAAAAATACGAAAAAAGAAAGAAAGAAAAAAAGAAGAGAAGAAGATGGCAATTAAACCCTCGATTTTATATGTGAATGTATGGGAACGCGATGAATCTCAGAGGCGAACGCTTCGCTCGGTGGAGTATCTGAAATTGAAATCTCGTTTCTGTATACGAGCTTGTCTATCTCTCTGTTTAACCAGTGACATCGTGAGATGTGATTTTTTTGAAATAGAAATTGCAGCGAGGTGTTTAACTTGGATTAGAACGTTTCATGCCGCGTTATAACTACGACAGAGGAAGGGACTTTGATTTATTTGAGAACATAGAAGAATCGCGTCAAAATTTAATAGTTGTACTCGTACGATTGACGGTTCTCCATCTGTCAATTATTCTTCCTATCGAAAATTGAATTGTAATTCAATTCGGTTAGTTTCGATTAATCTGCTTTGGCCGAAGAATC